AGGATACAGAATACAGGATACAGGATACAGGATACAGGATACAGGATACAGGATACAGGATACAGGATACAGAATACAGGATACAGGATACAGGATACAGGATACAAGATACAGGATACAGGATACAGGATACAGGATGCAGAACACAGAAGGATGTCAAGTTGAGTCTAGTGAGTAAAAATCTTCTTTTTTTTAGATATTTTATACTTTTATATCTTAGTTTCTGTCTTCCGTCTTTTCAGATTCAGGAAAATATACAATTTGTTGGTTTGAGATGAGATATATTTTCTTCTGCTAATGTAAACTAAATTAAAAAGCTAGCATCCTACATGGTACTTTATTTATCTTTTCTCTTAGTTCTATTCTTTGTAGAATACAATCGAATAATTTACTTTTTTTCGGTTAGTTCAACATTTTTAAATAGATGGACCGGAAACAAAATGTATTTAATTTCACAAACTCTTGTTTCCGTGATATCAATGTTTGTCGATGTTTTTTCAATTATTTATTATGGTTGCCTTTTAGACCTCGATCTGAGAGACTAAAACTAGATATCGTCTAATTTTTTATCTTAAACGGAGATTAACTCTGACATTTTTTTCAGTGTCTCAAATTCACATTAATTCCTCAAATCATATTAAATAAGAAACCATATTAAAAAAAGTTTTTAAGGTGGGAAAACTAGGATATTGTAGAGGATGAAATCCCCGAAAGAGGATTATAAAATCCGCAAATCAGAAGTGTCGGATTCTGGAACCAGAGAAGACCTAGATACCCATCTTACCTTTATTACACTCGTTATTTATCATGCATTTATATCTAGAAGCAATAAATGTACTTTTAAAATATCTCCATTATTTTTAATTAGGGAACCGAATATATCTCTTTAGATGGGAGAATCAGTTGAAAGTTACGACTCATTTGATGTACAGAACATTCGATATTTGATGTACAGAACATTCGATATTTGATGCACAGAACATTCGATATTTGATGTACAGAATATTCGATATTTGATGTACAGAACATTCGATATTTGATGTACACAACATTTGATATTTGATGTACAGAACATTCGATATTTAATGTACAGCACATTCGAACTAAAATACGATCAAGCTATAACCAATTAAATAAAATATTCCACAAAATCTGTTGTTTAATTTTTTTTTACCAAAGACAACCAAAAGTCGTCACTTTTTTCTCATGTTTATTAGAACTCCCTGTACAGTGTATATGCTTGAAGACGTTTGCTTTATTCTTGATTATATTCAGAATTAGGTAAGTTAAGTGATCAGGCTTAGTAAAGGTTAGGTCTTTAATTACTCAGTTTAACAAAACAGATTAATTCTGACCGTCTGATTATGTTGATTAAAGAGGGAAATTAAGCTTCGCTTGGTTATAATCAACAAAGGTCAAGAAAAGCTATTTTTTTATTAATTTCTTTTTTTTCATCTTGTAAAATGAGGGTTTGAATATTTATTTTGCACAAAAGCCCGAAGTTTAAGAAAAGGTCACGAAAAAAGGCATATTTTCAGTATTGTTTTCTAAAAGAGATCTAAACTACATTTGAAAAGAATTTTCAAGACTTTGAATCGATATCCAAGTTTATTCCATAACTTTGTGCTTTGGAAGTTTCGTACTATAAGTCGTCAATAAGAAAATTTACTTCCCCGAGAAATTATTTCATACGACTTTAGTAAATAATGCAATTATAAATGATAACTTATTAGATTGATTAAAAACCGGTGCATTTGATGATAAGATTTTAATAATTACCTGAAGGTTGCATCCCGCAGGTTTAAATGAACCCTTGTGACAGGTTGGGAGTTGCCTCTAAGAGAACGGGACGGATTATAGATCAACTCAACTCCATTCACATCCACAACCTAATCAGCATAGATTACACAGAGATCTATACAGGAATACAAATCAGGAATTTTAAAGACCAGGTCGCATTTTAAATGTCGCAACACTTTGGTCTTGAGGGTTAATTTACCGACTCGCGTTCAAAGTTTAAAGTCTTTTTTTGTAGCCTTAGAAATATAATTGTAAATTTTAGAACTGCATCTGAGGATGGGAAGGAAAAACTCGGCCTCCTCTCCTACATGTAATCATGTATATAATATTTGAGGAGGCGCAGGTCAGCTTATCCTTAATCCTCATCTTTTCTCCAGTAGCAGAGATTACCAACTCTTCAACAGTATTCTTTCCCATCTATCACAATGAGCTAAAATGTGCATTATAGGAGAGACAGGGAAGGAGTCTAAAGAAAGGCTGCAGAGGGGGTCACACTGGCACCATTACACAGCTAGAACAAGAAATATCCAGGCGCCTGTAGTAGGTGTTCACTTTCGTGCCCCTGACCACTCCATGCAGATGTATCCTTCATTCCCATATAGAAGATCAGGTCAAGGGATAGCATGGTCAGGAAGGTCAGGTCCAGGGACAGCATGGTCAGGAAGGTCAGGTCCTGGGATAGCATGGTCAGGAAGGTCAGGTCCAGGGACAGGATGGTCAGGAAGGTCAGGGAATCATACTAAATCCAGAAATTCAACTCAGTGAGGTCAGGACAGGACAAGAAAACATAATGCTAATTGCAATCTCTAAAAACGATGAATTATGTTTGTTTTAAGCTGTATGTTCATGTATTACCAACAGTACCTTAGTTGATCGAATTCATGTTTTTAACCGTTTTGCCGACGAATTCTACCCTTTTCAACACCCCCTCCCCCCCCCCCACTGCATACGCCCATAAACTAGTCAATAGTTCTTCAGTCATTCAATACTCTTCAAACGAGTAAGGTACGGTTTTCTAGTTTTTCTTCTTGACTTTTAAGTTACACAATTTTCAAGTTTGTATCATTTATTTTAAATATTCATTGTCTAAAATTTTCTTAATTTTTTGCTTATATCTGTAATATAATTACAGGACGAACTCCTGATGATGCCAAAGTTTTTGGCGAAATATATTGAGAAGAAAATGATATAATTCTTGTGATAGAGAGTAGGGTTGGGATTTGTTTAAAAACGATCTAAAGTATATAAAAGAACCAAGGGCTAAGGAGAAAAAATGAATATTCGTAAAGAATAAAAATTTACCAAAACTCTATTAATCCTATGAAGACCTAAAAAGAAGTGAAATATCTAAGAATAATCATGTATAAAAATTAATATGAGTTAGGAATAAGCATCCAATAATCTAATCTATTTGTTAAAGTAAACAACTTCTATTTACCTGTTCCCGGTCTCCTAACATAGTATTTGGGTAGAACTGATTGACCGACCCTTCTCCTCCGAATCTATCTTGTCTACCATTAAAGGTTTGTCTACGATATCTTCGCTGTCTTCCAAATCTATATCTCTGGTTCCCTGAAACTCTTGGTATTTCTCTTCCATATTCACTCTCCATTCCTTGTCTTGGGAAATCATTACCCCTGAACCCTCCTGTACCATTCCTGAACGATTGTCAATCTTTAGTAATTCTCATTCATGGTTTAAGCTTTGGAAAAAGATGAATGATATTTTAACCTGGAAACTCAGAGCCTAACCTGGGGGCTGAGAGGAGTATATTAAACCTAATCCTAACCTGGGAGCTGAGAGGAGTATATTAAACCTAATCCTAACCTGGGAGCTGAGAGGAGTATATTAAACCTAATCCTAACCTGAGAGCTGAGAGAGGAGTATATTAAACCTAATCCTAACCTGGGAGCTGAGAGGAGTATATTAAAACTAATATTAACCTGGGAGCTGAGAGGAGTATATTAAACCGAATCCTAACCTGGGAGCTGAGAGAGGAGTATATTAAACCTATTCCTAACCTGGGAGCTGAGAGGAGTATATTAAACCTAATATTAACCTGGGAGCTATCAGAGTGAGCATATTGAACCTAATCCCGATGAGTATTAAACCATCAGCCGATGGGGAACACTCCTCTACGTTGAAGGAGTTGAACCCAGAGATCTGAAGTTATTTTAAAATAAAAAATCTTAATTTGTTCTTTGAATGATTACACAGATACTAAATAACTTATTACATACAAAAATATTGATTAAAAAATAAAAAAAGATTGGAAACTTTTATGAAAAAATATGAAAACTAAAAATGATAATAAAAACTTTCTAATTTTTCTTACAGCTACATTTGAATCCAGAATAAATTATAAACACTAACGTAAGTACTGATTTTAATTGCAAACCAAAAGGAAATGAATTTTATTTTGATCTTTTTATTTCTTCAGCGTTTGGTTTCGTTAACTTCTAATCACATCGATTTAACTCGATTCACAGAGTAAACTTGAAGATTTATGGACATCCAGCAAAAAAAATTAGGAAATTAAACAAAACTGTGTTTGACGAATGAAACGGACTCGTTAGCGCATAGGTAAAGAGAGGACTGAGCGTTATAAATAAAGTTAAGAATTCATAAGTTTTTAACTTTGATATCTCTAAAAATTAATAATTTGAACCTGAGCTCGTTCTAGTGGAGTTGAACCAAACTCCATCTGTCGACCCTGGCTCAGGTAGAAGGTTGACCTGTCTCTCATCATGGCATCCTTAAACCTGGAGAGAATATCTCGGCATGGAGGAGTTACGTCCAGGAACTGTGAATCCTAGAAAATCAACCCAATACTTAAAGGGACATTCAGCGTAATTTCAAATGCCCTGAAACGTATCTTTATTTATCGGCGAAATGCTTGTGGTTGTAGAGAGGTGTTTTTATATTAAGAATGATCAATATTTACGGATTTTTGGAAACCGCTTTGAGCATTGAATATTGAGTATTTTCGAGGTTTACATGTCCGCTGTGTTGAGTTCATATTGTACACCAGCGTTTAAACTGCAATTCAAACACTATTTGATGAGCAGTCAAAGGTTTCAAGGGTACCGTTGTAAATCAGACATTGCCATCAATGCATGGAGGGTCATTTGAAATTACGCTTACAGTTCCTTTGATAATGCTTATATGTCTTACTCAAACGAAATCAAATTTTTTTTAGAAATTTTTTGAACAAAAGTTAAATAATAATAAAAAAATTATGGGTTTTCTATTTGTCAATTTCACCAAGAAATTTTTGAAAATAATAAGAAATAAACTCAAAATCACAAAACTAATTAAGATTAAGTAACCCCAAGTTATAATTACCACGACATCAGTTTTCTTCTCCGTCTCCTTTTTTTCTATGGCGAGGGTGGTAAAATGTAGGATAGGAGAGAACAGGAAAATATGGAGAAACGTCCGTCCTACTCCGATCATAATATTGAACTGTATCCTCAATGCCAGATTTACTAATATAATCAGAACTATAAAAATACATTTCCGGTTGAAAATTATATATATAAAAATCAGAATATAAATACTATAGAATAACAGGTGGCAGCATTTGGTTTGGGAAGTGTTGGACTGTGGAGGTTATGCAGTACAATACATAAATGTCCAGATGTACAGTAATCTTGGGGAGTGGGGGATTTTGAAGATTCACTTTTGAGATATAAATTGTGAAAATTTATCCAGGAACAACTTTCTTTATTAAAAACTGAATTTTTACATACATCCTCTCTTTACAGTCTACAGTCGACACAGTTTACGGTCTACAGTTTACGGTCTACAGTCGACTGTCTACAGTCTACAGTCTACAGTATACAGTCTACAGTATACAGTCTACAGTCTACAGTCTACAGTCTACAGTCTACAGTCTGCTGTCTACAGTCTACAGTCTATAGTCTTCAGTTTACAGTGGTTGGTCAAAACCAAAGCTAAAATGTGTTTCCTATAGTTCATGTCATTGAATTTTATTGTTTAAATGTTTTTAAAAACAATATTCATATTAATATTCTTATGTAACGTGAAATAAGAATATGAAAAATGATCAATTTTAGCAAATCAAAACAATTTACAAAAATATCATATTATTGATCTAAAATAGTTAATCAAAGTAAAAAAAAATAAGAAAAACAATAATCAAATAAAGACAGATATGAAGTAGATTTTTTTATCCCAATCAAACAAAGATTAATTCAAAAGAAATTAAAATTTAACAAGGAGCAATTTGCAACAGAGAATCAATCTTAAAGGGGAGTGTGAGTGTTTGGTGTGTGGTTGTGTTTTTGTATGAATTTTGAATCGAGGGTGCTTGGTGCCCCTCAAGAATTTAGATCTTATTTCTTTATTTGATTGGAATGGAAGATTCCATTAAAAGCTAGAAATTAAGATAGACTTGTAAGGACGACATTTTTAGCCGTTCTTAAATTACTTATTTCTGTATTTTGCAGTACATTCAGAATTCTTAAAGGGAGAGTCTAACTCGACATTGTAGTTGAGCTGAAAGTACAGTAGTAAAGAGAAACACTTTTTAGGATTCATTTCATACCAATGAGAGGTTTTTACGGTGTACAATTTTTAAATTAAAGCGTTAAGTTGTTTGTCATATTTCATAAGTTGTTTCAGTCAGCAGATGAAACGTTTTTTTTACAATTTTTAAATAAACATAAATAAAACATGTAACAACTATACTATAGTTTTCATAAATATGCTTTATAAATATTTTATTCTATATGTAATGTAAGCTTGGGACAAAAATATATATTTGATTTGATTTGATTTGATTTGAAACTAGTTGCATTTAGACAAACAGGTTGAGAAACATATTTAACTTTTATCATTGGAAATAAGTTATTATAATTCATCTGCAATTTTTTTTCGGTTAAGGTCGCTTGTGAAAGGTTTCCTTAATTTCTATTGTGAAGACGACATCTTGAAGAAATATGCGAATACAATTTTAGGAACAGCAAAGGATATGATGATAATGAAATAATCGATTCTATGGTTCTAATATGACTTTCATCGATAATTTCTTTGTCCGTGTTAATAAATAATGGTAAAAACATTTCCTGCTGACTGAAACAACAGAGTCCGAATTGAATGAATTTGAGCCGTGTCTCAAATCCGCCAAAAATCGGTTTATTTAAGCGCCGAGTTAAATCTTAAAACGTTGAATACAAGTTTAAGTGGAACCAACCAAAATTAAACCGCGTCTCAAAATTAAGCCGCGGCTCAAATTCTTTGAATTCGGCCTCTGGTGAAATATTACAAACAAGTTTACGCTCTTATTTAAAAACTGTTTACCGTAAAAATGTCTCATTGGTATCAAATGAACCTTAAAGTTTTTTTTTACTGCACGTTAGCTCATCCTTTAAAGGGAGTGACCGGCTATATAAGGTAGTTGAACTGAGTATGCAGTGTTGTGCAAAACTTCTTTCGCATTCATTTGAGACATATTAAACTTTATAAAGTTCGGTAAATCCTGAGTTTGATCGCAAATTCGACGTTCAAAACTCCTATTTTGGGGTTGGATACGTTTACATAATTAGTTTTTTTTTTAAATTGTGTGTAGAACTTTTAAAATTTTTAGTTTTTTTTTTAAATTTATTGTCGAACTTTTTTTAATTTTATGTCGTCGTTATTTAATAATAGTCTTGAAAGTTGAATTTGCGCTCAAACTCAAGATTTACAGATCTTTAAAAAGTTTAATATGTCTCAAATGAATCCGAAAGAAGTTTTCCACAACACTGCATACTTAGTTCAACTACCTTACATAGCCGGTCACTCCCTTTAAAACTCTACATAGTAGCACATGTAAACTTGTATAATATTCAAACATATGTTGATAAAGGCAAGTTCTCAACTTATTTACCAATGAAATTTTTCAATAAAAAAACATGCCATAAACTTTTCAAAATGAAAGACGTAAACCCTTTAAGCATCGTTTATAATCTTTGATGGGATAATGTTGACTTTTCCTTTAAGATCTATGATTTTCTTGATAATAATAATCATTATAACAAACATATGCTTGAACACATTCTTGCTTTCCTCTACAAATAGGAAAGCTGGAAATATTGTGGTCTGGGGTCTACAGACAGTTTATTCACGGCGTGTAAGATATGAACATTCACTATTCACACTAGTTATATATGGTCGACATTAATTTCGGCAAAATTGTTCAATTTTGAGCATTCAAAAACCTTCCCTGGGGTCAGGTGAGTTGCCACAATAAAAAATTGGACCCGATCGGTTCAGCCGTTTTGACGTGATACAAACAATAGACAGCTAGATAAGCAACGTAATATTTTTAGTATCTTTCACTACAACAGATTCAGAATTGATCAGTTTCTGAATTAATTTAGCAAAAAAGCCTTCAACTGGTATTACTTAGTTATGTTTATTAAATGCATTTTTCACAAAATTAAAAGAAAAATGTCTCATAAAAACCCAAGTAAAAGTCAAAATGAAAATTATTAAAACACTTATAATTCAAATCAATTTACAGATTTGATTTTGTTATGCGAGCCATGCTGCGTGTATGAAGTCTATGTGGTGCCCCTGTGAATTCCTGAGTTCTCCCTGCGGATCTGTACAGAACGTATTGTGAAAAACTAGTTTTAGAAGCTGTTTACAGACTGACTATGCAGGCGCAAGTTTTCTCGAGTGGAAGCGGGCAGTTTCTATCTTAGTATATATTTATTTGTCTTACAAGTTCGTCTATTATTAACCGTGCTAAGAATTCTAGGATCACTGCGGTAATTATTCCTTATATATATGTATGCATATCGTTTGTTTATGCTATGATTGATATTTATAAATGTGATTTGTTGGTTCCATTCCACAGTTTTTTAATGCCTGAGTTGATTTATTTGTTGTACTCGTATGATTTATCACTCAATGCTTTTTCTGTGGGTTTATTAAACTTATTTAGATTGAAGTCTCGGAGAAATAAACGTTCGGAACCTTATTATTATCCTTTTGTTATGGAGAGCGTTGAGAAGAGGAAGGCTTACAATCCTATCTTGAGAAATACCGCACGGTAGTTATAAAGAGTTCTTTAGGTCTTTAGGAAAATCGCTAAGTAGCGAAACAGATTTGAACCCGTCAGGAAAAGTTGAGGAAAATCTGTCTAGCATACATTTTCCTTGGGATTGGAAAAATATTGAAAATTGGACAAATTATGGTCAAAAATATCATTCTCTTAAAGGGAGTGTCTGGCTAGACATTTTAGTCGAGCTTAGAATGCAGTATTGTAGAGAAATATTTTAGAAATCGTTTAAGACCTATAAGACGTTTGTATGGTATATAATTACTAAGTAAGAGCACAAAATCGATCTTCTAAAAAGTTTCTCTACAATGCATTCTCAGCTTAACCGGACACTACCTTTAATAATATTTATGATTTACTAAAAAAAATTGTCTTTTCTCTGACCTAACTTGGTCCATTTAAATTTTTTATCCTCTATTCTGTATAAATACGGTTTGAATTCGGATATTTAATCTGGTTCTAATTAATAAGTTTAAATCGAATTTATTTTCATTAACCCTTGTAATTTTTTCCAATTTTTTATCATTAAATCCCATTTGAGACAGAACGAATATACAGTTTATAAACATACCTTTGAACTCAAACTTTACACTACAATTTTTATTCTGTCACTAAATATGCACCATTGTTTTATCTATTTACAGTCCCTTATCTGAAACTAAATCTTATTTATATCAAATTTGTGTATTTTGTTTAATTAATCCTTTCTATTGTTTAACTTTGGCTACGCTCAATAATGCACGTCGAGGTTTAAAGAAATACTTTATTGACTAAATATTTAAACTCAAAATAACTTAATAGAAAACATATATCAAGGTGACGTGGCAGGAATCTAATGTTCATCTTGCCGCGTCCGAATATCCGGCTTCAGCCTCTTCATCTTGAGTCGTCTTCCGCCACATCATAAAAACCCAAGTAAAAGTCAAAATGAAAATTATTAAAACACTTATAATTCAAATCAATTTACAGATTTGATTTTGTTATGCGAGCCATGCTGCGTGTATGAAGTCTATGTGGTGCCCCTGTGAATTCCTGAGTTCTCCCTGCGGATCTGTACAGAACGTATTGTGAAAAACTAGTTTTAGAAGCTGTTTACAGACTGACTATGCAGGCGCAAGTTTTCTCGAGTGGGAGCGGGCAGTTTCTATCTTAGTATATATTTATTTGTCTTACAAGTTCGTCTATTATTAACCGTGCTAAGAATTCTAGGATCACTGCGGTAATTATTCCTTATATATATGTATGCATATCGTTTGTTTATGCTATGATTGATATTTATAAATGTGATTTGTTGGTTCCTTCCACAGTTTTTTAATGCCTGAGTTGATTTATTTGTTGTACTCGTATGATTTATCACTCAATGCTTTTTCTGTGGGTTTATTAAACTTATTTAGATTGAAGTCTCGGAGAAATAAACGTTCGGAACCTTATTATTATCCTTTTGTTATGGAGAGCGTTGAGAAGAGGAAGGCTTACAATCCTATCTTGAGAAATACCGCACGGTAGTTATAAAGAGTTCTTTAGGTCTTTAGGAAAATCGCTAAGTAGCGAAACAGATTTGAACCCGTCAGGAAAAGTTGAGGAAAATCTGTCTAGCATACATTTTCCTTGGGATTGGAAAAATATTGAAAATTGGACAAATTATGGTCAAAAATATCATTCTCTTAAAGGGAGTGTCTGGCTAGACATTTTAGTCGAGCTTAGAATGCAGTATTGTAGAGAAATATTTTAGAAATCGTTTAAGACCTATAAGACGTTTGTATGGTATATAATTACTAAGTAAGAGCACAAAATCGATCTTCTAAAAAGTTTCTCTACAATGCATTCTCAGCTTAACCGGACACTACCTTTAATAATATTTATGATTTACTAAAAAAAATTGTCTTTTCTCTGACCTAACTTGGTCCATTTAAATTTTTTATCCTCTATTCTGTATAAATACGGTTTGAATTCGGATATTTAATCTGGTTCTAATTAATAAGTTTAAATCGAATTTATTTTCATTAACCCTTGTAATTTTTTCCAATTTTTTATCATTAAATCCCATTTGAGACAGAACGAATATACAGTTTATAAACATACCTTTGAACTCAAACTTTACACTACAATTTTTATTCTGTCACTAAATATGCACCATTGTTTTATCTATTTACAGTCCCTTATCTGAAACTAAATCTTATTTATATCAAATTTGTGTATTTTGTTTAATTAATCCTTTCTATTGTTTAACTTTGGCTACGCTCAATAATGCACGTCGAGGTTTAAAGAAATACTTTATTGACTAAATATTTAAACTCAAAATAACTTAATAGAAAACATATATCAAGGTGACGTGGCAGGAATCTAATGTTCATCTTGCCGCGTCCGAATATCCGGCTTCAGCCTCTTCATCTTGAGTCGTCTTCCGCCACATAACAATCAATTAGCAATAAAATTCTTTTCAATTTTTTGTTTAAATTCTAATCTACAGTAAACAATAAGGTTAATGTCCGGAGGTGAATAACTTTTTCATTTTAGGAGGTTAATAACCTAGGAAGGCAAAATATCAAAATTAGGGAGCTATTTTTTCTTAATTTATATCTTTTGTAAATCCATTGAAAAAATGTATCATTTACTCTCAGACAAATTAGAATTAATGGAAGTTTAAACCCCCTCGGGATTCAATGATAAACCCGGGGGGCAGAAAATGACATTCCTTTTTAAAGAGGGGATTCAATGATAAACCCGAGGGCTTGCGGATTTTGCGGATTTTTTTTTGCCTTTGTAGATTTTTAAAGTATCTTTCAATGAAAATATCACGGCGGGATTAAATGAACATTTTTGCATACCAAAAAACCAGCTTTTTATAAAGGAATGTAGATTTTATTGTGAAATTTGATTATATGTGACTAGAAAATATTTGCAAAAATTGACTAAAATGAATTAATGTAAGTTGCAATAAATGCATAAGAGTCATCTACTTAGTTTTGCCAATTACCAAGTATTAAAAATGATTTGCTTTGTATTGACAAAAATAATATGTTGATTCTAAAAAAAATTTCAGGAAGGATAGGAGTATATTGTAGATTATGGCGTTATAATCAGCAAATATAAAAGTAGTTTTTAGAAAAACAAAAATGGCCACAGCTCCTATTCCTGACTTAAAAGATCTGATTGATCAGGCCAAGGGACTATTCAAGGAAACATTCGGGGAGGAGCCACAGGTTGGAGGCTCTGCACCGGGCAGGTAGATAAATATACTGGAATAATTAGAAGGTCGGAGGTTAAACACCTGGCAGGTAGATAAATATTCTGGAATAATTCGGAAGTCGGAGATTCTGCACCAGGTAGGTAGATAAATATACTGGAATAATTCGGAGGTCGGAGGCTCTGCACCAGGTAGGTAGATAGATATTTAGAAATAATTCAAAGGTTGGAGGCTCTACACCCTGGAAATATTCAGAAATAATTTGATTAATGCTTGATCTTGATATTTTTATCAATATCCCGCATAGTTATCGTCCCTAGTTGGGAGTTAAGGGGAGCTTTAATCAGGGGATCAAGGAATAACTAAAAGGAAAGGTATTGTTTTATAGATCCTTAAATTACAAATTTCCCACCGTGAATTTCAGGATCAAACAAGTTGACTAACACAAGATTGAGAGCAAGCATTGATCTAGATATGTTTATTAAAAGAGTTCTCTGCAGCTCTGATGATATACAATAACTTCTACGCCTGCTACCCTTCTAATGATGGAACATCCTCCTTTGATTTACTTAATCGCCATGAAAGAAGCAAACTGTATTATACTTACTCTGAACTTGAAGAACCAAAAAAAATAGATATTGCTAAACATTTATTTATAATGAATAACGAACGGCTACTTAAATATTTATTTAACGGTTTAACTAACAATTAACAATCGGCTTGGAAAGAACCTTCTCGTGCTCACCCCTGGCCCTAACTGTATCTTATTCTTAACTATTAGCAAAGGTTTAATATTTATATCTTTAAAAATATATACTTTAAGAGTAAATCTGATTGGTGAGCACACTGATTACAATATCGGATTTGTACTGCCTATGGCGCTACCTCTTGTCACCGTTGTTCTCGGGAAAAAGTCAGGTTTTGGGACCTTAAAGGGACTGTTATAGTAACCTAAAGTGATCCTTCTTTCCAAACTGTGACCGTATACAGTAAGAACCAGAATACTCTAGAATAGGAAGACGACTTTTGTGTTAACAGACCCAACTCACTTAATGAATGATTAAATAAGTTATTAGTAAAACTATTAGCTTTGTAACAACAAAACACTTAGTTGTTGCTTTGATTAATATTTTCTGGTTCTCACTGTAATATGACCTCATCTAAACTTCGACGATGGTGATGTTTATGCAAAGAGAATAGAATATATATTAGGGGGGAATTTACTTGAAAAAAGTGTAAAACGGCCATTTTGTTGTACTGTTTCCATACTGCAGGTGTACTTAACATATTTATGCTACAGGGTGTCCCAATAAACATGGAAATTCAGTGACGAATTGGATATCGTCTTTGTTATGAATTAGCATTGTAATACCTAATTTCAAAAGCCAAAATGTTATTATGTCTGCTAGAGTTTATTTTATAAAAAGGGTAAAAGACTGCAAAGGTGTGTCTATAATGTCTCCGCAAGATGAACAGTGAAGACGGACAAGTTTACTATGTTTGTATACTGCAATTTTCTTGTTTTACTAAGTACAGCCGTATGCAGTCAAAACATAAACAAACAAATTGTCAACATAGCAGACGAAACTCTTACAGATTACAGCTTTCTCAGTAGGTATCACTATACTAAATCAAAGAAGTATTTAAAACGATGATATCGAGCTCGTCACTGAATTCCCATGTTTATTGGGAACCCCTGTATATAACCTTTTGGGCCTTGGAATATCATTTTATAGAAAATCTAAAATTAATATTAAAAGAAAACCAAATTATGAAATAGGCTGGTTTCATAATTGACCAATGATCATTTCACATAGACTCTATGCCTTTTACTTTTCAAACGATGATTTTCCGTTATAACTATAAATCAAATGATAGTTTTTATTCACTTAATTCATTATTTAACAGCTTAAAAAAATTCGAAATTGAAATGGATAGTCTAGGGAACATACTGTATTATTATACTCTACCGCATATAATTTGTGAACATTTATATGATTTGTACACTTTGAACTCCCTTTCAGGCTGAAAGGGACTGAACAAATTCATACCGAGAGATTCTCTAAATTCCCCTCTAATATATATTCTATTCTCTTTGTGTTTATGTTTTTCATCTTTAACTTGGCGAAGCTTTGCTAGAAAAGTACTCTTAGAGCAAACAAGAAAATGACCAAGATTAATAATTCCTAATCCTAACTCAGATATTGAGTTACATTATTAATTGTTGTTCACACTCAATTTTGCTCTAGAAGGACAGCACAAGTCCCGTTTCTAGAGAAAAACATGGAAATCTCATGTTAATCGGACATGTTACTCTATAAATGGGCGGTCAGTTTACAGTTTTCATCTTTCAATACATCAGAAGGGGATTATCCGGATGCGTAGAATGAGAAGGATAATGATATTAATATAGATAATAATATATCAGGGAATGGGATGAGTAGGATGAGTAGGATGAGAAGGATAATGATATTAATATAGATAATAATATATCAGGGAATGGGATGAGTAGGATGAGTAGGATGAGAAGGATAATGATATTAATATATCTAATGATATATCAGGGAATGGGTTGAGTAGGATGAAAAGTGAGAAAGATGATGATATTAATATATCTAATAATATATCAGGGAATGGGATGAGTAGGATGAGAAGGATAATGATATTAATATATCTAATAATATATCAGGGAATATGATGAGTAGGATGAGTAGGATGAGAAGGATAATGATATTAATATATATAATAATATATCAGGGAATGGGTTGAGTAGGATGAAAAGTGAGAAAGATGATGATATTAATTTATCTAATAATATATCAGGGAATGGGATGAGTAGGATGAGAAGGATAATGATATTAATATATCTAATAATATATCAGGGAATGGGATAAGTAGGATGAGAAGGATAATGATATTAATATATCTAATAATATATCAGGGAATGGGATGAGTAGGATGAGTAGGATGAGAAGGATAATGATATTAATATATCTAATAATATATCAGGGAATGGGTTGAGTAGGATGAAAGTGAGAAAGATGATGATATTAATATATCTAATAATATATCAGGGAATGGGATGAGTAGGATGAGAAGGATGAGAAGGATAATGATATTAATATATCTAATAATATATCAGTGAATGGGATGAGTAGGATGAGAAGTGAGAAAGATGATTATATTAATATATCTAATAATATATCAGGGAATGGGATGAGTAGGATGAGTAGGATGAGAAGGATAATGATATTAATATATCTAATAATATACCAGGGAATGGGATGAGTAGGATGAGTAGGATGAGGAGAATATGATATTACTATAACTAATAATATATCAGGAAATGGGATGAGTAGGATGAGAAGGATAATTATATTACAATAACTAATAATATATCAGGAAATGGGATGAGTAGGATGAGTAGGATGAGAAGGATAATTATATTACAATAACTAATAATATATCAGGGAATGGGATGAGTAGGATGAGTAGGATGAGAAGGATAATTATATTACTATAACTAATAATATATCAGGGAATGGGATGAGTAGGATGAGTAGGATGAGATGAATAATGATATTACTATAACTAATAATATACCACCAGGGAATGGGATGAGTAGGATTAGAAGTGAGAAAGATGATGATATTGCAGAGTTTGATGTTAAACAACTGACTCCAGGTTCCCCCTCATGGGCCAACTATGTTAAGGTAAAACATTTATTCAGAAATTTAAAAAAAATAACAGGTTTGTCTTATTGTTTGTCTAATTGTTTGTCTAATTGTTTGTCTTATTGTTTGTCTAATTGTTTGTCTAATTGTTTGTCTAATTGTTTGTCTAATTGTTTGTCTAATTGTTTGTCTAATTGTTTGTTAGCCTTAAATGTCAAAACAGCTGAACTGATCAAAGCTGAAATCTTTAGAATGATAGATATACACATTCGATATCCAAGAAAGAAATACAAAATTCGACCAATCAGTGTATCGAGTTAAGATGTACTCTTTAACTTTTGAAAAACCGGTTTTTTTTCTGGTGTTAATTGTGTCATATCAAATGAACTAAACATCAACTAAATAAGTTTTGGATTGATGTTTGTTAAGACTCGTTTAAAACGATGATAGTCCTAAAATTTAATAAAATATATTGACTTGATTCCCAACTTCAATGCTGTTGTTGTTGGTTCAGTTCCTTCTGATATCTCTATTTACAGGGTGTTGTTGCTAACTTCCATGAGCTCCTGACTTGATTCCCAACTTCAATGCTGTTGTTGTTGGTTCAGTTCCTTCTGATATCTCTATTTACAGGATGTTGTTGCTAACTTCCATGAGCACCTGACTTGATTCCCAACTTTAATGTTGTTGTTGTTGGTTCAGTTCCTTCTGATATCTCTATTTACAGGGTGTTGTTGCTAACTTCCATGCTCCTGACTTGATTCCCAACTTCAATGATGTTGTTGTTGGTTCAGTTCCTCTTGGTGGAGGAGTTTCAAGCTCAGCCTCAGTTGAGGTAATTACCAGGGGAATATCCACCTCCCCGTCATGTTGGTCTTCAGGTAGGGGGCCAACCTCCCCCTCCTTGTCTGTCTGATGGGGTACCATCCCTCCCCTCTTTTATTTGTGGGGACACCCAATCATTACAAAAATAGGTATTCTAACATGAACCCTTAACATAGATAAAAACAACAAGAAAAGTTTAATCTTGAAGAAAATGCTTTGCAAGAAGCGCAAAACAAAAACACATTGATGTTCCTCTTCTAAATTCTGATAATTGTGTGTATTACACCAACTTAATGAGGTTTGATTGTTAAAACTTTTTGAGACACTAAAATATATAAAAACTGCAGTTCGTTGGGCAGGTTAAGTACCACTTACCATTCGGTTTATTTTTATGCAGAAAATACAGGGGATATTAGTTCTAAAATGTGCCATAAACCTGTTTATGGAACTGATGTCCCCTGAAGTATAGGGCGGATTGATGTTTATCATGCATATTTTAAGGTTGCCATGTACACCTTCTTAGAGGAGTTGACTGGCTCCACAGCAGGCTCAGATGAAGAGAAAGCTTTGGCTTGTCAAGCAGCGGAACATCAGTATGCTGGTTAGTATTGGAAATATTTATTCAGTAAAAGGACTGTTAGAAAAATATAGAGTGACCTCTATTAAATGAGTAGTAGAATGCTCGAAACACAACGGAACCCTGAAAATACATATATTTGAGTAACAATAACTTGTTCATTATTGTTGTTTTGGATGTATGCAATGTGTTGAAATGCGGGATAATAGACCGGTTCAAAAGCGTTATTTTTTAGGCATACATGGTATAATAGACTGGTTCAATAGTGTTATTTTTTAGGCACACATGGTATAATATACTGGTTCAATAGTGTTATTTTTGCAGGTATGCCATGTGGTATAATGGACCAGTTCATTACTGTAATGGGAGAGGAGGGAAGTGTTGTATTGATTGATTGCAAAACAATGGAAACCAGGTATATTCATCTTCTATTGCAGGAAACAATAATTCCAAATCGGGTTTAGGGCCCATTTTTAACACTGAGTGCTGGAAATTTGGTAGAATGTGAAATAATTTCACAATGCATGCATCTGTATAAATGTACTATGTATATCTGTATACATGTATAATATATACATATATATCTGGAATGTAATGAATACTGTCTGAGGAAGGTATTATAATAAGGTGGAATAATGAAACTTAATGAGAACCAAGATCAACCTTGAACCTTGATTTAGGTTTAGGGATTTAGAACAAACCTGGACAATTAATATTATCTTTAGCAAACAGAACCTTAATTCCGGAGATAGTATTCATAAAATATAAAAAATAGAAGAAATATTATAACTAGTCTTCATCATTAAAGGGTCATAAGACCTAACAATAAGTTTTGCTTTCTTTAAAATAAAATAAAAATATTTTTTTCTCCCAAGCTTTATTTACTTTATTTATGGAGTCATATTCCTTAAAAGGTCTGTCACGTAATTTCAAATAACCTGATATTCGTATTTCCAAATATACCTTTCAACCACAGTCTTGAGCAATACTTCAAAATTGATTATTGCAGATTTCTCAGAATTTTTCTTTTTTCTAGACAGTAAAACAACGATATCATCCACATTGTTAATCTGATAAAGGGGGAAAGGTTACCTTTGTTAATCGGACATGTGACGCTCTTAACAGAACTGAAAGCCTAGTTTTAAATAAACCTCCAAGCAAATATGCCAATGCCCGATCCAGAAGGATTCAGAAACCTTTATCTGATCAATAATGTGGAAGATATTTTCATTTTATTACTAGCTTAAAAGTTTTTAATTCTATTCTGATAATTCCAATATGTTTTCCTGTAGTAGAAATACGCAATTCACTTTTGTGGAGAAACCCCCATTGATAATAATTATTTTTCAAAACTAAAAACATTGATATCTAATTTCTAGTTGATCAGACAAATATTTGAAGGGTATCAATGCCATCTTTGTTAAAAAGGATTACGTGGAATAACGTGTATGGAGTCCCATTAATAAAGAACAATGGGGGCCGGATAGAAAATGAGAACGATAAATGAGGAAAACGAATGTTTAAACCCAAGATTGAATTAAATTGAAATAATGAATTTAATCTAAATGCAGTTTCTTGGGAAAACAAATAAAACCTAATTCAAGGGTTAATCAAAAACTCAAACAAAATTAACAGCTCGTTAACAGGAACAGGGTTCTTATGGACTTGTTTAATCTTTCTAGGTAGCTATTGAGAAGGAAAAATATAAATTCTTTTTTTAAACTTACAGTTAGGAGGTCGCAAATCCGTACCAGTAGTTTCGCGTGAATTTTTATATCGCTACTCGAGTCGCCATTTTTAATTTATCTTCATCTCATGCTCGATGATATCTTTCATTATTTCTATCAGAACTTCTTGTTCTGGAGAGATGATAAGATTAATAAAAAAGTTTTAATTTCAATTATGCAACAAAACAAATTTGATTTAATAAAACTTGACTTTTTGCTTTAAATAAAATGTTTTTGAGCTAGTCTCCAACAAAAATTAATAAAAGGTTTTTGACAATTTAGGAGAATATGAATACTATTAAAGTAGTGTTGATGCAGTGTGACCACGGCATGTTCTAGCTAGTTTAGGACCATAGAAGAACTGTAAGATCTAAAAAAAAGAAATAGCGAGAAAAACTAGATATATGTTTTTTTTTATTTTAGATCTTTGAAAACTGTTTTCATCTAACAGACGAAGTCAGAACCTCATCTATTATTCACCGGATCGGAGGAGAAGAGTTCTTTCTTCAGAATAACGTAGAGGGAAGACCCTGTGTGCAAACTACTCTTACAAAGTGACCAGGATACAAAATATAAGACTCTGAGCCAAGAGAAGTGATAAATGTCCGAGAAAAGAACAAAATATAAAGAGGAAACATGTATAGATAGACACATAGTTGACGATTGTATGAATCAGTGATGTGAAAAATAACAGAGCAGGTGTCCGAACGCTGTCAATCAGGATCAGCAACAGGGAACACTTAGGAATTTTAGAAATGAATATTTCCTTCTAATTTTAAATTTACTATATTATAACCTTTAAGGATTTTTCTCTTGTAGAGTAAATCTACCCCTTCATAGGATCTTAGTCTCAGCAAACAAAAATATGAGAATTTTGTCATATTATTGTTTGCATTATGCAAATATGTCAAGGGTTAATATGGGTCATTCGTGTTTGCTCAAGGAGCAGAAGGTGTTTTGATTTGATACAGAAACCATCTGTACCAGCGCTGAAATAAGAGAATTTGATTGGATAATGATGGCGGTAATGTGCGTTGGTCAAACGGCGATTTATTTCCGGGTATAAAAGGTCTTACGACGGTAAAGGCACCGAACAGTATGAAAAATCAGTGACCCAAGGTTGAGCTAAGCCCGATCGTATACAATCAGGTTTTAATGACATTAAAGTTATATTAAAGTCAACTCAATTTTCTGTTCCGGGTTTGTTTATATATTCATACAGTAGTTTATTTTGGTTTCAATCTCATCTTTTCCAAGCAGACTAGTTATCGGAAAAGATTATTTGCAACTTTGTTTTAGTTGAATTTTCTTGGCAAGTTTTAAGAAATTAGTCATTAACCCTCGATTTCACGAGCAAGGTTTTATTCCCTTGTAGTGAATAAAGTGAAAATAGTGATTAAACGAAATAGTGAACCCGACCACGCAGCCATTGGTGAGTCTTGTTTTATTAATAAGTCCATATATCCACATTCTCTATTTCAGCTAAAAGTGTTAGATTGACGTAAAAGGAATCGTTGTTTAATCCTTGACATAAATATTAAAATAGTGCATCTTTCTGAAATTTAGTTCAAGTCCAATTGTTTCCGACTTTGAACTTCTAGTTTGAGAAAATAAACCACTAAAGAAACTTGTAGTTTTATTTCTTAGAAGATCTTTTCGATTTCAAATTATTTGATCTAACAAATTTAGTTTAGGAAAACTAACAGTCTATTCTCTAAGGTTAAAATAGTTTATAACCAGAAATATCTTAGTTTTAGTATTACAGTTATTTGGATAGCAAATAAGTAAGTTAGAGAAGTTAGAAAGTTAGGAAGATAGAAAACTAGCCATAAAACCATACATAGATAAGAATAAGATCTTTTGGATCATTTTAACTAAAACTTGAAATAAATTTAAACTGCACTGCTTAGAATAGTATTCCTTTGATTGAAACATTTGTAGTGTTGATCTAACCCTAGAGTTCTTATCCTATCTCCGGGTCAAATCCATCCTTCCCCTTACTCCAGGTTTCCTAGTTAGATTGTTTATTGTTAAAAACCATACTGGAATGGTTTCTTTAGCGTGGCGGTTGAGTTAGTTTTATTGTGAACGGTTGAATGTAAAAGAGTTTAGCAAAGTTGTCTTAGAGTAGGGTTTCGGTTGAGATTTAGATTTGTCTCCTGTCTCTTTAATTCCTAGACGAGTTTGTTTTCTAACTCCATCTCTATTCCAGAGTTTTTCCCTGCAATTTAACTTGCTCCTCTTTATGGCAAGCATCTGTCATTTATAAGACTTAAATCTTTTATAATTGATTAACCAGTGACCAACGAAAGTTCCACAAGATTTGCTATTTCAAAATAATATTTGCATGGGAATGGATATTTGAAATTCTGGTTTTGTAGATTTATTTCCAAGTAGAATTTCCTTTGAGATAACAAGAGGCACCTCTGCTTAGGTTTTAGCTGATCCTAGTAGTTGTACTTTATGGTCTATTTCCCCTTTAACTAAGATTTGGTTGAGTAAAGAAATTTGGTTGTAGTTACGCTTTAACTCCTTCTCTTTCTGTCTCCTAGATCGATAAAGAATTGGATAGGTAGCATCAGTGTTAAAGGGAGTGTTCGCAAAAGCTGAAAGGGGATTATAGACTAACATCGAATCCAATTTGATGGTGATCGCTACTAATCTTACTTCTATCTGCGCGCCTATAAGGAGAAAATGGTTGCACACGACACGAGCGTAGAACCCATACACATTCATTGAGTTGCAATATTTCACTCATTCTTTTGATCATTCATTAACCTTCCCTGAGGTCACATAAGGTCCCACACAAAATTTGGCCCTGATTGGTTCAGCCGTTTTGACAAAACTGGATACAAACAAACAGACACCCAGACAAGCTAAATTTATACATAGATTTTTGAATTCGATGATTTTATGTTCTAATATTTGTATGATTACTTTCAAATTCAATTGAATTCTTTACGATCTGAATGATACTTAATGCGAGATCACCAAGATTCATGTGATAGGTTTGGGTCTGAAAATTTACTAAACCAACCTACAGAGAAACTGGTCTTTTTTTGTGACCATTTGATTCCAATGTGGTGTGTTGAAACCAAATTTTTAAACCTATATCTTAAGATATGGGGGTCGGGGGATCTGGTGGACCTTAGGGTCGTTCCCTCTTTATCTCCTTAGCAGAAGGTAGAGTTGAAAGTAGTAGCAAGGGTAGTAAAAGGTTTATTATATATCTTGTCAGATAATTTCTACCCTAAATTACAGGACACATGCATTCTTAAATTTATCCGAGCAAAGGGCTGTATTTCTTTATTCTTATCATGAGGAGAGGGGGATGGGCGTGGCATGAACACCCATTAGGGCCTTTAAACTCCCTGGAACCATAAATTTTAATGATCATTCTCCAAATTTTATTATCTAGGGATATTTAAATATTTACAAGTTTATATTTAACTCTCAGATCGTTTATTGTCGGTATTTAAACTCTCATGTTTTGTGGTTAACTCTGTAAGTTATGCAATGATTCACTTAATTAATTAACTTAGTTAATAGCCACATCAACATAGCTCGATATCAAGGTGGAAACTTTTGCATGCGAGTTAATAGCCACATCAACATAGCTCGATATCAAGGTGGAAACTTTTGCATGCGAGTTAATAGCCACATCAACATAGCTCGATATCAAGGTGGAAACTTTTGCATGCGAGTTAATAGCCACATCAACATAGCTCGATATCAAGGTGGAAACTTTTGCATGCGAGTTAATAGCCACATCAACATAGCTCGATATCAAGGTGGAAACTTTTGCATGCGAGTTAATAGCCACATCAACATAGCTCGATATCAAGGTGGAAACTTTTGCATGCGAGTTAATAGCCACATCAACATAGCTCGATATCAAGGTGGAAACTTTTGCATGCGAGTTAATAGCCACATCAACATAGCTCGATATCAAGGTGGAAACTTTTGCATGCGAGTTAATAGCCACATCAACATAGCTCGATATCAAGGTGGAAACTTTTGCATGCGAGTTAATAGCCACATCAACATAGCTCGATATCAAGGTGGAAACTTTTGCATGCGAGTTAATAGCCACATCAACATAGCTCGATATCAAGGTGGAAACTTTTGCATGCGAGTTAATAGCCACATCAACATAGCTCGATATCAAGGTGGAAACTTTTGCATGCGAGTTAATAGCCACATCAACATAGCTCGATATCAAGGTGGAAACTTTTGCATGCGAGTTAATAGCCACATCAACATAGCTCGATATCAAGGTGGAAACTTTTGCATGCGAGTTAATAGCCACATNTTATAGAATGTCGTCTTCTAAATATATTCGAGCCTGGTGTTTGTCCAGTCTGGATTATGTGCAGCGAATATGTTCAAGTGTCAGGCCAATAGAAGCTGAAACCTTCAGCGGAGTTTAACAGAAAAGGGGAATAAAGAAGAAAGAATGAGAAATGTTTAGAGAAATAAATAAAGGAATCAGAAGGTATAGAAATGAAAGAAAAATATAAAAAAGGTAAGAAGCATAATACGGTGGCAAAGGAATTGAGTCTTCGTCACAAACTCAGTTTTTCTAATTCCTTTATTTTTGAAAACCATTATATTCCAAACTATGAATTCTATTAGATTAACTAATCTAACTTTGAAATAACTACACCATGAGGCTGCAAAGATAAAGGGTTTAGAAAATTAGAGTTTGTGGAAGAGACTCATTTCCTTATTCAAATATTTAGCAAAAATGTAGGCTTTTAGCTGTTGCTTCACAAGTCGCCATTTTCTAGCAGTTTCTGTATGTAAGCGATGTTGATATAATGTTGGACTTCGCCATTTTTCCTTCTACTCTGATCTTATTGAAGTTCATTGGATACAAACAGACAGACAAACAGAAATACATGCAAAGTTAAAGCGAAGGAAAAAGGAATTGAGTCTTTGCAACAAATCCTAATTTTCTAATACCTATATATCTACAACCAAATTATGTAAACCTTTGATATTTCAAACTTTGATCGTTTGATATAATAGAAGTCATAGTTTGAAATAAAAATTAAAAAACGTTGTGTGAGAAAAGAATTCCCAGAAAAGTTCCCTAAAGGAAAAGGAACGCGAAGCGCCCTGTAAGCCTGGTATTAATAAGTTTATTTTTGTAATATAAAATTTATTTCACATGAAGATAAAATTACAACAGAACATTAATCCTAGCATGGAATATTATACAAACTTATAATTAATTCTTAATTTAATACATTTACAATTTTCTAAAATTAACTTTATATAGGGTTCCAAACAAATAACAATAGGATCTCGAGAATACAGTTAAACAAATAAAATAAAAAATAACAAATAACAAATAACAAAATATATTTTTCTTGATGTAAAAAAATAAAAGTTTAAACTTTTCCTTTTTCTTGAAACAGTCACATTTTTTAAAAACTTAACGGGCGTGTACGCGAAAAATGAAAGGGGGGTTTAGGCTTACGGCGAAAAATAATCGCCTTTGATCGCTACTAATCTTACTTCTATCTGTTGTTAAACATGCTTATACTGAAGAATGTAGTATCCATACAAATTCAGAAAGTTGCAACATTCAACTCGGATCGTAAAATAATTATATCATTCAGATATTACAAACAGTAGTCATAGATTATTTTTCGACGCTTTTGTATAAAGTTAATATTTCATAATATTTTGGATTTTGTTTTTTAAAAATGATATTTCGCTGGCGCTAGATTTTCCGACATTCCTGGAAAATATAGAAATGTCGTCTTCATCATCAAAAATCCTCGAAGCAGGAATGAATATTTTCAAAAATAGCCATCAGATCATAAAAGATAAAAAATATTATCGAAAAATTATCGATGATTATTGTTTGTAATATCTGAATGATTTGATTGGAATTAGATTTTTTTTTTACAATCCGAGTTGAATATCGCAACTTTCTGAATTTGTATGGACGTTACGTTCTTCAGTATGAGTCGTCTTTAACAATTTTTTTCCTTATGTACGTAACAGATAGAAGTAAGATTAGTAGCGATCATAAGTGCTTATTTTTCGCCGTAAGCCTGTACGCCCTTTATTATTTCGCGAACGCTACCTTTTATGAGAGGTACAGGTTTTAACATACTTCATAGATATTAGTTTAACAAATTTAAATTCTTCGAGATCTATCTCAAACTTCGGAGATATCCAAAGAATTGATATAATGTCGTTTTCTAAACCTACTGATAAAAGAATGCTGCTGATATTTAGATTTTTAGTTGAATAATTAAATGGAGCTTTTTAACACTGTTCCCATAGATTTCATGGCTATTTATTTATTTTTAAAATTATTGAGTTTTAGGTATATTAGTATAAAACCTATTGAAAAATTGTCAAGACGACATTTTATAAATTCTTTCGGACCTCCAAAGTTCTGGGTTAAACTGTAGATAAACATCATAAAAAGAGTATAAAATTACTATCATGTGTGGAATTGTTAGATAAAGAACACATAATACATAAATATTCCAGGAATTGAATGAAAAAGAAAATAAAACAGTATTTTTTATGTTTGGTACATAGGAAAGACCGTGAAGTCAATGATCGATTCAACATTTTTAAAATTTGGGGTCTTAGACGATTCTTAGAATGTTTCTGGTAAATCAGTTTTCTTGGTCCATCCTGGTTTTCTTGGTTCCCTGATCCATCCGGGTTTTCTTGGTTCCTTGATCTATCCTGGTTTTCTTGGTTCCTTGATCCATCCTGGTTTTCATGGTTCCTTGATCCATCCTGGTTTTCTTGGTTCCTTGATCTATCCTGGTTTTCATGGTTCCCTGATCCATCCTGGTTTTCATGGTTCCTTGATCTATCCTGGTTTTCTTGGTTCCCTGATCCATCCTGGTTTTCTTGGTTCCTTGATCTATCCTGATTTTCTTGGTTCCCTGATCTATCCTTGTTTCCATGGTTCCTTGATCCATCCTGTGTTTCTTGATTCCTTGATCTATCCTGGTTTTCTTGGTTCATTGATCTATCCTGGCTTTCTTGGTTTCTTGACTATCCTGGTTTTCTTCGTTCCTTAATCCATCCTGGTTTTCTTGGTTCCTTGATCTATCCTGGTTTTCTTGGTTCCTATATCTATCCTGGTTTTTCGTGGTTCCTTGATCCATCCTGGTTTTCTTAGTTCCATGATCTATCCTGGTTTTCTTGGTTCCTTGATCTATCTTGGTTGTTTTCTTGGTTCCTTTATCTATCCTGATTTTCTTGGTTCCTGGATCCTTCCTGGTTTTTTTTGGTTCCTTGATCTATTCTGGTTTTCTTGGTTCCTTGATCTATCCTGGTTTTCTTGGTTCCTTGATCCATCCTGGTTTTCCATGGTGCCTTGATCCATCCTGTGTTTCTTGGTTCCTTGATCTTTTCTGGTTTTCATGGTTCCTCGATCCATCTTGTGTTTCTTGGTTCCTTGATCTATCCTGGTATTTTTGGTCCCTTGATCTATCCTGGTTTTCATGGTTCCTTGATCCATCCTGTGTTTCTTGGTTCCCTAATTTTCAAGGTTTCCTGATCTATCCTAGTTTTCATGGTTCTATAATGTATCCTAGTTTAAATGGTTCTATAATGTATCCTAGTTTTCATGGTTCAGTAATTTATCCTAGTTTTCATGGTTCTCTGATCTATCCTGGGTTTCATGGTACGCTAATATTCTCCTATTATGTAGGATTTCAGATATTGTCTGATTTTACAATGAATATCCCTTGACTGGTGATCTTCTGAACCTAAGATTAAAAGAGTTAAATATTCTATAGTTTTTATGAAGAATTTAATAGAGAGATTTGCATATTTGCATGTATGGAGAGTTAGATTAAAATATCAATATGGAGAAAATATTGGATATTGGGAAATATATATAATGCATACATATCAGGATAAACTTCCCAAAATGAAAAATCTGCCAATTTCACTTTTCTTCAAGTTTGTTGGCTACTAATATAGAACATTCTGCACAGTGTAAACTGTACAGCAAATTCAACGGTATAGTACAGTGTACAGCAAACTCTACTGTATAGTACAGTGTACAGCAAACTCTACTGTATAGTAGTTTACAGAATTCAATTTTACATGTTTCTAAATAAATCTATCTATCATTGCTAATTTTTTGTCGGAGGGGACCGTACACGTAATTTCAAGTGGGCTCTTCATTGATAGAGTGACATGTCCGATCCTCAACTGTACCCTTGAAACAATTAGATATTGTTGTTTTTCCCATCTTGGAAATATTTAACTCTAACNCTGGTTCCTAATCTGAATATTCTACCTGTAAACCTGGTTCCTAATCTGAATATTCTACCTGTAAACCTGGTTCTGGTTCCTGATATCTTCGACTATATTCTGCAGAATGATATCCAACTGTATCTCCAGGTTCTGGAATAGTATCTGTCCCTCCTCCCACAGGTAGAAAGGTTGAATAGTTCCAGGACCAAATCTCTCTCTAAAAGAGAAAATATAAAATTTGTCTAAATAATATAAATCTTACCTCGCTATTTCAATATTAATAAATATATGTGATTTTCTTTGCCCGGGCACTCCAACTAGTAATGTATATCTTAAAAATATATTTATAAAGTAGGAATCTCTTTTTGTTTGTTTGTATGTCCGATCATAACTCATGAACTTTATAATCTATTTATTTGGGGAACTTGGAAGAACCACGGGAATGTTTTTTAGCTCGGATTAAAAACTCTTAGTTTAGTAGGTCATATTTTTATAGGGAAAATTAGTTACCGGCCATAGCTGGGTTCCCAAGCTAGTATCTGTATAAATGTGTGTAATGAATAATGTATATATATATCTGTAAAAATATATAATGTATAATGTATTATGTATATATCTGTAGAAATGTTTAATGTAAAAATAGATATCTGGATAATATCTGTATAAATGTTTAATGTAAAATATAGATATCTGGATAATTTTACAATGCATGTATATCTGTATAAATGTACAATGTATATCTGTATACACGTATAATATATATATATATCTGAAATGTAATGAATACTGTCTGAGGAAGATATTATAATAAGGTAGAATAATGAAACTTAATGAGAACCAAGATCAACCTTGAACCTTGATTTAGGTTTAGGGATTTAGACCAAACCTGGAGAATTAATATTATCTTTAGCAAACAGAACCTTAATTCCGGAGATAGTATTCATAAACTATAAAAATAGAAGAAATATTATAACTAGTCTTCATCATTAAAGGGTCATAAGACCTAACAATAAGTTTTGCTTTCTTTAAAACAAAATAAAAATATTTTTTCTCCCAAGCTTTATTTACTTTATTTATGGAGGCATATTCTTTTAACCACAGTCTTGAGCAATACTTATGGAGTTATCACTATTTCTCTATTTCAAAATTGATTATTGCAGATTTCTCAGAATTTTTCTTTTTTCTAGACAGTAAAACAACGATATTATCCACATTGTTAATCTGATAAAGGGGGAAAGGGTACCTTTGTTAATCAGACATGTGATGCTCTTAACAGAACTGAAAAAAATTGAAAGCCTAGTTTTAAATAAACCTCCAAGCAACTATGCCAATGCCCGATTCAGAAACCTTTATTTGATCAATAATGTGGAAGATATTTTTTGATTTTTTACTAGCTTAAAAGTTTTTAATTCTATTCTGATATGTTTTCCTGCAGTAGAAATGCGCGCAATTCATTTTTGTGGAGAAGCCCCCATTAATAATAATCATTTTTCAAAACTAAAAACATTGATATCTAATTTCTAGTTGATCAGACAAATATTTGAAGGGACCATTGCCATCTTTGTTAAAAAGATTCACGTGCAATAACGTGTATGGAGTCCCATTAATAAAGAAATATGGGGCCGGATAAAAAATGAGAACGATAAATGAGGAAAACGTGAATGTTTAAACCCAAGATTGAATTAAATTAAAGTTATGAATTTAATCAAAATGCAGTTTCTTGAGAAAACAAATAAAACCTAATTCAAGGGTTAATCAAAAACTCAAACAAAATTAACAGCTCATTAACAGGAACAGAGTTCGTGTGGAATAGTATTAGAAGCGCTGCGGAAAAAAATAAAGTAAATTTCATGTTTGATATGAAATCTTTCTAGGTAGTTATTGAGAAGGAAAAATATAAATTCTTTTTTTAAACTTACAGTTAGGAGATCGCAAATCCGTACCAGTAGTTTCGCGTAAATTTTACATTGCTTTTCGAGTCGACATTTTTAATTTATCTTCATTTCATGTTTGATGATATCTTTCATGATTTATATCAGAACTTCTTGTTCTGGAGAGATGATAAGATTCATAAAAAAGTTTTTACTTTCTATTATGCGACGAAACAAATTTGATTTAATAAAACTTGACTTTTTGCTTAAAATAAAATGTTTTTGAGCTAGTCCCGAACAAAAGATAATAAAAAGGTTTTTGACAATTTAGGAGAATATGAATACTATTAAAGTAGTATTAAAGGGAGTGTTCGCAAAAGCTGAAAGGGGATTATAGCCTAACATCGAATCCAATTTGATGGTGATCGCTACTAATCTTACTTCTATCTGCGCGCCTATAAGGAGAAAATGGTTAAACACGACAAGAGCGTAGAACCCATACACATTCATTGAGTTGCAATATTTCACTCATTCTTTTGATCATTCATTAACCTTCCCTGGGGTCACGTGAGGTCCCACACAAATTTTGGGCCTGATTGGTTTAGCCATTTAATTGGATACAAACAAACAGACACCCATACAAGCTAAATTTATACATAGATTTTTGAATTCGATAATTATATGTTGTAATATTTGTATGATTACTTTAAAATTTAATTGAATGCTTTACGATCTGATCGGAATAATGCAACTTTGTGAATTTGTATGGACGCTAAGTTCTTCGGTTTGAGTCGTGTTTAACGATGTTTTACTTATTGTAGCGATCACCATGAATTCGATTCGACGTTAACCTCTACCCCCTTCATTTTTCGCTAACACTCCCTTTAAATGTCAATAAAGTATTTAAATATAATATTGTTTCATGACATAAATTTTTTGGCTCAAATTTCAATCTCTCAACCGGGATTAGGAGAAATATTAAAATATCATAGGGGTAAGATATAGTTTCAAAGTTTTCATAAAACTTGAAATGAGATATTGTTGTATTCCGGATAACTTTGGTTTCATAAATCCGGGGCTAAAATGGGCGATATTTTGTGAGGCTAATCAGAGATTAACAGTTAAATTAGAGATTAAAAGTACAAGCACATATATCGCATCTTGGAAGAGGTTTGTTTGATTTAAGATTCTAAAAAGATTAATTTTTGCCACAAACTCTAATTTTTTAATCCATATTTCTCTACAACCCAATGTCGTATATCCTAGTTATTTCAACGTCTGAATTCTGTAAGATCAATTAATCTAAGTATGAAATATCAAAGATTTACACCAACAGGTTGCAAAGATATAGGGATTAGAATATTTGAGTTTGTGGCAAAAACTTAATTCCTTTTTATAACATATAAAGCTTAACAGAGAATTTAGAAAATTTCTTAATTACGCTATTAATAGTCTTCTAAAAAAACCTCATCTATATTTCTACAAAATATCATTTATAGACAAAATTTGGACAGAATTATTTTTTTTACGTTCTATTCATAAAAGACTTTTGAATTTTCATGACTATGAATTAAAGCATTAGAAAATAGTTTAAAAGAAAATGTTTTCCATTTTAGTTTTAAGGATTTCGGAGGAGATTATTTTGTTTGAGGGAGTTCCAACTTTAATCCAATTTGTGATATTTCCGGAGATTGTGGTTCATTTTTTGCTGATTAAATATTTAAGCTGTCGCTCTTTCTCCCCGGGTTCTCAGCTTCTCCATTTTTTCTCTCTCTGGGTCCTAGTTCTCCTAGTTCTCCGCCATTTTCTGTTAATTTATCTCTTTTCTCTCTCTGGGTCCTAGTTCTCCTAGTTCTCCGCCATTTTCTGTTAATTTATCTCTTTTCTCTCTCTGGGTTCTAGTTCTCCTAGTTCTCCGCCATTTTCTGTTAATTTATCTCTTTTCTCTCTCTGGGTTCTAGTTCTCATAGTTCTCCGCCATTTTCTGTTAATTTATCTCTTTTCTCTCTCTGGGTTCTAGTTCTCCTAGTTCTCCGCCATTTTTTATTAATTTATCTTTTTTCTCTCTCGCACTAATCTAGCTTCTTTAATTCAATTCTTGTTTAGTTTCCATCTTTTTCTCCGAGTTCAATCCTTCTCCTCATCTTCTATCTGGGTTTTCGATTCCTCCCGACCCTCTCTCCTGGTTCTTAATAATTTCTCACCTTCTCTCCTGGTTCTTAATTCCTGTTCACTTTCTCTCCTACTTCTCAATTTCTCCTCTCCTCCTTTTCTGGTTCTCAAATCCTCCCCATCCTCTCCCCTGGTTCTCGATCTCTCCTTACTTTCTCTTCTGGTTTTTAATCCTTCCTCACCCTCTCTCCTGTTTCTCAATCTCTCCTCACCCTCTCTCCTGTTTCTCAATCTCTCCTCACCTTCTCTCCTGGTTCTCAATTCCCCCCCCCCCCCCGCCCTCTCTTCTGGTTCTCAATACCTCCTCACCTTCTCGCCTGGTTCTCAATCTCTTCTCACCGTCTTTCCTGGTCTCAATTCCTCCTCACTTTCTCTTCAGGTTCTCTCCTTCTCTCCTGGTTCTCAATCTCTCCTCACCTTCTCTTCTGGTTTTCTATTTCTCCTCACCATATCTTCTGGTTCTCTATTCCTCCCACCCTCTTTCCTTCCCTCCTTGTTCGTGATCCTTCCTCACTTCATTTTTTATTGTTTTATTGTAGAATACATATTATCCTGGAGAATATCCAACCTGTCAGATACACAATTCTTTACCTTCATATATAGAAGATAGGATACATGATACAGGATACAGGATACAGGATACAGGATACAGGATACAGGATACAGGATACGGGATACAGGATACGGGATACAGGATACAGGATACTGGATACAGGATACAGGATACAAATAGGATAGAGGATACAGGATTCAGGATACAGGATACAGGATACATGATACAGGATACAGGATACAGGATACTGGATACAGGATACAGGATACTGGATACAGGATACAGGATACAAATAGGATAGAGGATACAGGATTTAGGATACAGGATACAGGTTACAGAACACAGAAGGATGTCAAGTTGAGTATAGTGAGTAAAAATCTTCTTAATTTTAGATATTTTATATTTTAGTTTTCGTGTTCTTACTTTTCAGATTCAGGAATATATACATTTTGTTGGTTTGAGAGAGATATATTCTCTTCTGCTAATGTAAACTAAATTAAAAAGCTAGTATCCAACTTGGTGCTTTATTTATCTTTTCCCTTAGTTCTATTCTTTGTAAAATACAATCAAATAATTTACTTTTTCTTCGGTTAGTTCAAAATTTTTAAATAGATGGACCGGAGAAACTCTTGTTTCCTTGATATCCATGTTTGTCGATGTTTTTTCAATTATTTATTATGGTTGCCTTTTAAACCTCTACTTGAGAGACTAAAACTAGCTATCGTCTAATTTTTTTAATTTTTTAATTTTGTTTTAATTTTTTATCTTCAACAGAGATTAACTCTGACATTGTCCTTCACTGTCTCAGCCACATTAATTCCTCAAATAATATTAAAAGAGAAACCATATTTTGAAAATATCAGTTTTCAGGTGGAAAAACTTGGATATTGTAGAGGATGAAATCCCCGAAAGAGGAATATAAAATCCGCAAATCAGAAGTGTCGGATTCTGGAACCAGAGAAGACCTAACCATCTTCTATTTAATACACTCGTTATTTACCATGTATTTATATCTAGAAGCAATAAATGTACTTCTAAAATATCTCCATTATGTTTAACCAGATAATTAGGAAACCGAATGATACTCTTTAAATGGGAGGATCAGTTGAAAGTTACGACTCATTTGATGAAAAGATCTTTCTGACTAAAATGCCATCAACTATAATATATTAGAAAAAATATTCCACAAAATCTGTTGTTTAATTTTTTTTATCAAAGACAACCAAAAGTCGTCATTTTTTCCTCATGTTTCTTCAAAGTGATTAAATACTAAAGTGGACCAAAACTCATAGTTGGATGACGACATTTTATGTCCCAATTATTTAAAAATAATATATATATATATATATAAATTGGTCAGTATACGGAGTGCACAGAAACTGGACTCCCTTGTTTACAAACGCAGAATTAGAATTTGTGTTTAGCTTAAATATAGATTAACGTAAATTAAGATTTCAGAAGTGAATTTTAGCAATTTTACTGCACAGAAAATAATTTCAGACAGCACAATAATGCCTGAATGCATAATCTGTAAAACTAGGAATGTACAAATTGTGATACCGAAAAATGAAGATCTTCGAAATATATCTCTTGGTCTTCACTTTTGTATTTGACAGATGTTAGAGTGGTTAAGACATACAGGGTGTCCCACGAAACATGACCTTTAATAAATTGTTATTTTTAGTCAAAATAATCTTTTGCTTCATTATCTTTTACTTTGAAATAAATTTTAATATAACACGACTCCCATATAATATTTTTATTGATCTTTGGTATCAAACAATTTAACAAAGACATTCTAAACTATTCACCAACTGTCATGTTTCGTGGGACACCCTGTAAGAAAAGATATTAAGAGAGGCATATTCAGGTTTTTTTCCCGTTACATTTCTTTTTCTTTTTAGGGGGGGGGGTGTGTGCAAAATTAGAAGTGCCAGGAAAAATCAATGTATTGATTAAGGGAATGTATAGTATTTAGATATAAACTACATAAAAACAAACAAAATTTTTAGATTTTTAATTATGAAAATTTCGAAGTTCTAACTGAAGACGACATTTACATGGGTCTTTAGTCTATTTTTTCTAGTCTTTACTTTCCAAAAGAAATTTTTTCGTGCAATTAATTCCACTTTAGTATTTATTCACTTTGATGTTTATTAGAAGTCCCTGTACAGTGTATATGCTTATAGACATTTGCTTTATTCTTGATTATATTCAGTATTAGGTAAGTTTTGTAATCAGGCTTAGTAAAGATTAGGTTTAACAATACAAATTAATTCTGACCGGTTAATTAGGTTGATTAAAGAGGGAAATTAAGCTTCGCTTGGTTGTAATCATCAAAGGTCAAGAAAAGCTATTTTTTATTAATTTCTTTTTTTTTAATCCTGTAAATTGAGGGTTTGAATATTTATTTTGCACAAAAGCCCGAAGTTTAAGAAAAGGTCACGAAAAAAGGCATATTTTCAGCATTGTTTTCTAAAAGAGATCTAAACTACATATGATAAGACATTTTCAAGACTTTGAATCAATATCCAAGTTTACTCCGTAACTTTGTGCTTTAGAAGTTTCGTACTATAAGTCGTCGATAAAAATTACTTCTCCGAGGAATTATTTCAAACGACTTTAGTAAATAATGCAATTATTAGATTGATTGAAAACCCTGGATTTGTGTGGCACTTTTAACGAAATTGATAATAAATTTTTTATAAATACCTGAAGGTTGCATCCCGTAGGTTTAAATGAACCCTGGAGACAGGTTGGGAGTTGCCTCTAAGAGAACGGGACGGATTGTAGATCAACTCAACTCCATTCACATCCACAACCTAATCAGCATAGATTACACAGAGATCTATACAGGAATACAAATCAAGAATTTTAAAGACCAGGTCGAATTTTAAATGTCGCAACACTTTGGTCTTGGTCTAAAGTATGTAAAAGTACCAAGGGCTAAGGAGAAAAGATGAATATTCATAAAGAATGAAAATTTACCAAAACTCTCTTAATCCTGTGAAGACCTAAAAAGAAGTGAAATATCTAAGAATAATCATGTATAAAAATTAATATGAGCTAGGAATAAGCATCCAATAATCTAATCTATTTGTTAAAGTAAACAGCTTCTATTTACCTGTTCCCGGTTTCCTGGCATAGTATTTGGGTAGAACTGATTGACCGACCCTTCTCCTCCGAATCTATCTTGTCTACCATTAAAGGTTTGTCTACGATATCTTCGCTGTCTTCCAAATCTATATATCTGGTTCCCTGAAAATCTTGGTATTTCTCTTCCATATTCGTTCTCCATTCCTTGTCCTGGGAAATCATTACCCCTGAACCCTCCTGGACCATTCCTGAACGATTGTCAATCTTTAGTAATTCTCATTCATTTGGAAAAGGATGAATGATATTTTAACCTGGAAACTCAGAGCTTAACCTGGGAGCTGAGAGGAGTAAATTAAACCTAATCCTAACTTGGGAGCTGAGAGGGGTATATTAAACCTAATCCTAACCTGGGAGCTGAGAGGAGTATATTAAACCTAATCCTAACCTGGGAGCTGAAAGGAGTATATTAAACCTAATCCTACCTGGGAGCTGAGAGGAGTATATTAAACCTTAATCCTAACCTGGGAGCTGAGAGGAGTATATTAAACCTAATCCTAACCTGGGAGCTGAGAGGAGTATATTAAACTTAATCCTAACCTGGGAGCTGAGAGGAGTATATTAAACTTAATCCTAACCTGGGAGCTGAAAGGAGTATATTAAACCTAATCCTAACCTGGGAGCTGAGAGGAGTATATTAAACCTGATCCTAACCTGGGAGCTGAGAGGAGTATATTAAACTTAATCCTAACCTGGGAGCTAAGAGGAATATATTAAACCTAATCCTAACCTGGGAGCTGAGAGGAGTATATTAAACCTAATATTAACAGCTGAGAGAGGAGTATATTAAACCTAATCCTAACCTGGGAGCTGAGAGGAGTATATTAAACCTAATATCAACCTGGGAGCTATCAGAGTGAGCATGTTGAACCTAATCCTGATGAGCATTAAACCATCAGCCGATGGGGAACACTCCTCTACGTTGAAGGAGTTGAACCCAGAGATCTGAAGTTATTTAAAAATGAAAAATCTTAATTTGTTCTTTGAATGATTACACAGATACTAAATAACTTATTACATACAAAAATATTGATTAAAAACTAAAAAAAATATTGGAAACTTTTATGAAAAAATATGAAACTAAAAATTATACTAAAAACTTTCTTATTTTTCTTACAGCTACATTTGAATCCAGAATAAAATTATAAAAACTAACGTAAGTACTGATTTTAATTGCAAACCAAAAGGAAATGCAAATTTTATTTTGATCTTTTTATTTCTTACTCAGAGGTTTAAGCGTTTGGTTTCGGTAACTACAAATCACATCGATTTAACTCGATTCACAGAGTAAACTTGAAGATTTATGGATATCCAGCAAAAAAAATAGGAAATTAAACAAAACTGTGTTCGACGAATGAAACGGACTCGTTAGCGCAGAGGTAAAGAGAGGACTGAGTCCGTTATAAATAAAGTTTAGAATTCATAAGTTTTTAACTTTGATATCTCTAAAAATTAATAATTTGAACCTGAGCTCGTTCTAGTGGAGTTGAACCAAACTCCATCTGTCGACCCTGGCTCAGGTAGAAGGTTGATCTGTCTCTCATCATTGCATCCTTAAACCTGGAGAGAATATCTCGGCATGGAGGAGTTACGTCCAGGAACTGTGAATCCTAAAATCAACCCAATACTTAAAGGGACATTCAGCGTAATTTCAAATGACCTGAAACGTATCTTTATTTATCGGCGAAACGCTTGTGGTTGTAGCGAGGTGTTTTCATATTTAAGAATTATCAATATTTACTTACGGATTTTTGGAAACCGCTTTGAGCATAGAATATTAAGTATTTTCGAGGTTTACATGTCCGCTGTGTTGAGTTCATATTCTACACCAGCGTTTAAATTGCAATTCAAACACCATTTGATGATCAGTCAAAGGTTTCAAGGGTACCGTTGTAAATCAGACATTGCCATCAATGCATGGAGGGTCATTTGAAATTACGCTTACAGTTCTGATAATTCTTATATGTCTTACTCAAACGAAATCAAATTTTTTTAAGAAAAAATTTCCGAAAAAAACCTGTATCTTATGGTACTACGATTGGGAAAAGTTCCGTTAACGAACGAAATTTATTAAAAGTCAAGTCGGAAACATTAAGAAAAAAGGAAAGTTTGTTGAGTTTTATGCTTAACCCAGCCAAAAATGAAATATGCTTTATTTTCAGTTTTATCACAGAAACTGCATCACATGCCATTTGTATAAACAATATATACTGGGGTTCCTGGTAGATCTTGCTTGCCTTCTAATAATTCATGTTTTAAACTGGAAATTGTTTTTGTATTTTTGACCGGGATTTTTCATAACAACAAAGTTTGAATGGATACATATCTCTGTAAATTTTCTCAAGTTCACTTTACCTGAAAATTCATCGGACCAGAACCTAATCCATTTCCATTAAACCCACTAAAGTAATAAATATTTGAGAATAAAGTCATTTTATCGAAAAAAAATTATTTTATTTTTCAACAAATTATATTATTTGTATTGTATAGCAAAGGAATTGAATTTTTGTCACAAACTCTGATATTCTAATCCCTATATCTTAGCAACCAAATGTCATAACCTTAGATATTTTAAACCAAAAATTCTGTTAGATTAAACAATCTAGGTTTGAAATATCAGATGGCTAGGATATTATGATTAGAAAATTTGAGTTTGTGGCAAAGATTTAGAAAGTATTTTCAAAATAGAAAATCATACAATAGATTAATTGGTAGATTGATATTTCAATTTTATTGAAAAATGTTAATGTCTGGTATCAAAAGTTAGATGTGTCTCGAACTACTAAATTCAATTCACTTTTTTGTTTTAAAGATATTTTTAGTCTGATTGAGACAATTTTCTTTCCCCAAACCGGGTTTTGACTGTTTTTTTTTAAATGGATTTTTATGATTTGAACGTATTTTTAACCTCTGTGTTTAAAGGCAGATTCTTAAAGATTTATTTGACGAAATATTTTTTCTTTTTCAATTATTAGGTAAAAATCACATTGTTTTAATGAAACGTTAGAACTGGTCCAATATGGAATTGAACAAGAAATTTGGCCCTAATTCCATCCTTAAAGGGATTGCAAGCGTAATTTCAAGATACCTTCCATTTGAAAAGGAGCATCTTCGATTCACTATGGTACCCTTTAAACCTTAGACTGTAGAAGGATGACAGACTTTTCCTTACTTATCTACAGAAACGCTTGTAATTGTTGCTAAGGAATTGAGTCTTTGGAACAGAATCAAATATTTAAACCTCAATATCTTTAGAACTCGATGTTGTAAACCTTTAATATTTCAAACTCAGATTATTTGACCTAACAGAATTCATAGTTTGAAATATCCAAGGTCTGCAACATTTGGTTCCAAAGATATAGTGATTAGAAAATCAGAGTTTGTGGCAAAGACTCAATTCATTTACGGCATTATAGATTTGAATTTAAGAGATATAAACACCGAATTATTTGTCCTAGGACAAAAGTTTCAACAATTGCAATCAATTCTGTAGATAAGTCAGGAAGAGTCTTTCATCCTAGATCGGTTAAAGGTCTAAAGGATATCGTTGTGTATTCGGAGGCCAAATTTAAAGAATTTGAGCGGCGGCCTAAAGTTAGGCCGCCGCTCAAATATGGTTGATTTCACTTAAAATTGTATTCAATGTTTCAAGATTTAAGCCGGTGCTTAATTGAAACCGGTTTTTGCCGGATTTAAGACGCGGCTCAAATTCATTAAATTCGGACACGGGATGTCCCTTTTTAAATGGCAGAACACTTGAAAGTAGGCCTACAGTCCCTTTAACATAATAATATTATTTCTCCATCATGCTGAAATTCTGAGAGCTTTGGATAATTTTCTGGATAAAAGTTTCAAAATAAAATATTTTCAGTATTTCGACAAGTTGGACGAGTTAGACAGCGCTTTCTCAAACTTTTCTTTTGAGAAAATATTTAGAAAAATTAATATTTCACCTGTTATATCCGTTTCCTGGACCAGGACCCCCGGGTCGGTTTAACAGGAAATCAGGAACCCCGAAACCACCCGGGTTCGGTCTGTCTCCGTATGGGGAGTTGGGTCCATTTGGTTGGTTAAAATTATCCGGGTAGGGTTGATTGTTCCAATTAATTTGTGGATTCATTCCATCATCACGGTTCCTCCCTTTTATCAAAATTTAATAAAGAAAATACTCCTAGCGTAAGATCAGTAAAAAAAGAATTAGAATATGTTATCCCCAGTGTATCCATGGGTTCCCTCAACTAGGTCCAGTCGTTTGGCCACCCAGAGCTAACACATAAATGAGCGAAGAGTTCATAATATAGATTTAATCGGTGAGTAAGTAATATGCGTATTACATAATTTACACCCTTTTTTAATTTGTTTTTTTAAAGGGAAAAGGTAAAATTGTTTTAAAAATAATACATCGTTATAGTTAAGCCATTTTTGTCGTTGCAAAACTAGGTTTTAAATTCTAGGCTTAAATATTTTGATATTTGAAGGTTAGGTTTTCGAATTTGATAATTCCTTGGTTAGCTCCAGGTACTAGAGCTGGACCTCCAGGACCTCCAGGATAGAAACCAGATCTTGTATCCTGAACAGAGAAATGGATTGATTGCAGTGATCACCAAAAAAGTTAAATTTTCTTCATGACATTGTTTAAATGAATTCAAAAGTTTGTTATATCGAACTTACCGAAAGCATTGTTTAGCATTGTGTTCGAAATTACGTCAAGAATGTTAATGATATCAAAATTTGTGAGCTATCCCGAACATTTTCTTAATAACTTCGAAAGAAAAATAATAAGAAAACATTATGGGTTTTCTATCAGTAAATGTCACCAAGAAAATTTTTAAAAATAATAAGAAATAAGTTTAAAATCACAAAATTAGTTTAGATTAGGTAACCCCTATTTTTACCACGACATCGTCGTCCTTCTTCGTCTCCATGGTGAGGGGGGTAAAATGTAGGATAGGAGAGAACAGGAGAATATGGAGAAACGTCCGCCCTACTCCGATCATGATATTGAACTGTATCCTCAATACCAGATTTACTAATGTAATCAAAACTAGAAAAATATATTTCCGGTTGAAAATTATATATATAAATTCGAATAGTGAAATTTATCCAGGAACAACTTTCTTTATTCAATTAACTGAATTTTTACATATATCCTCTCTTTACGTTCTATAGTCTACAGTCTACAGTCTACAGTTTACAGTCTACAGCATTCAGTCTACAGTCTACAGTCTTCAGTCTACAGTCTACAGTCTGCAGTATACAGTCTACAGTCTACAGTATACAGTATACAGTCTACAGTTTACAGTCTACAGTCTACAGTCTACAGTCTACAGTTTACAGTCTACAGTCTACAAACTACAGTCTACAGTCTACAGTCTACAGTCTACAGTCTACAGTATGCAGTCTACAGTCTACAGTCTACAGTCTACAGTCTACAGTCTACTGTCTACATTCTACAGTTTACAGTCTATAGTTTACAGTCTACAGTCTACAGTCTACAGTCTACAGTCTACAGTATACAGTCTACAGTCTACAGTCTACAGTCTATAGTCTATAGTCTACAGTCTACAGTCTACAGTCTACAGTCTACAGTCTACAGTCTACAGTATACAGTCTACAGTATACAGTCTATAGTTTACAGTCTATAGTCTACAGTCTGCAGTCTACAGTCTACAGTTTACAGTCTATAGTCTACTGTCTACAGTCTACAGTCTACAGTCTACAGTCTACAGTCTACAGTCTACAGTCTGAAGTATACAGTCTACAGTTTACAGTCTACAGTCTACAGTCTACAGTCTATAGTCTGCTGTCTAAAATCTACAGTCTACAGTCTACAGTTTACAGTGGTTGATCAAAATCAAAGCTAAAATGTATTTCCTAATTGGTTCATGTCATTGATTTTTATTGTTTTATACATTACGTATATACAATATTAAAATTTATATCAATATTCTTATGTACTGTGAAATAAGAATATGAAGTTTTAGAAATTCAAAACAATTTACAAAAATATCATATTATTGATGTAAAATAGATAATCAAAGTAAAAACAAAAATAAAAAAAACAATAATCCAATAAAGAGATGAAATAGAATTTTTCAAATCCCAATCAAACAAAGATTAATTCAAAAGAAATTAAAAATTAACAAGAAGCAGTTTGCAAACAGTGAATCAATCTTAAAGGGGATATCGACGTAAACTTTTTAATTAAAGAGTTACACACCCAATTCACCTTTAAACGTTTATCTGAGAAACAAGGAGGAAGATATCGTCGTTTTTCCAACTGATTATAAAGTTTTATTTACAAGATATCTTCATCATTTTTCTCAGATAAATGGTTAAAGGATACAGTTGGGATCTGGACATGCCACTCTATAATGGAGAGAGTCACTTAAATTAACGTTGACAGTCTATTCGGCATAATGAAATATAAAAATAAAAATTATGATTAAGAATAAATAAAACAAGTAACCTACTAACCTAAAAAAGTTTTGCGTAAATATCCGGTTTTAACTGAAAACTAATTACTCTCCTTTGTTTTCATTTAATTGTAGTAGTTTTAAACTATATAGGCCTTCTATAGTATTATGCTATGATTGGCTCAGCTGGTCAGGGTTCAGTATAGTTGAATCATACTTTAGAAACTTTTTATTAGTTTCAGACTTTCTATACAGATAGTATAGATATTAGAGATAAATATGAAACTTTAAAAGATTTCAGCCTGATCAACTTTAATTTGGATTGTTAAAATCGATGTTATTTGAACTATAAAAGAAGAAGAAAAATAATATCAATTTCCTTTTACTAATAAACTCTTATTGAAAATATGAATGCATATAATAGCAATTGAAAAAATAAAAAAATAAAAAAATTTTTAAAAAAATTGATAGAAAACACCATTGACTGCGCACGTAAGATGCAAAGTTACTCTCAAGATATAATGACAAAAGGTGGCCTCTTATAATTCCAGAGTTTTTATTATTTTTTAATTTTCCGGAAAACCACAATTTGAAGTTAAGAGAAGAGGAAATTGCATCTTGAATATCCGATTTTTGAAGCAAAAGTGTTTTTTGCAATCTGTTGTCTATTGTAGTTTCAGAAGAAGTAAATATTTATATTTACTGTTTAGCCCCGATATAAGGATTCATCTTTAACTGGATTATGAGATAGATAGAAAGATAGATGATTCTGGCATGCAATTTCTATTGGTTCAGAATAGACACCAAACACTGATTGGATCAGGCGCTAATGAACTCATCATACAGGAGTAATGTCGGAACTTGTGTATAACTTTTTGCAAGCACAACTCTGTTCTTCTGTGGGTCGAAGGTTTATACTAATTTCTTTAGGATATATCTTTTAAAAATGCTGGAAACATCTACCAATTACAGGAGACATTACTTCCAAACCAGGGTTATGGCCCAATTTCTAACAATCAGGTGGTTAGAAATAGGCTAAATCGCATTTTGGAACTTATATCCCCTGAATTAGAAGCAACAAAAAATCTTCTAACGGTAAATGATAGAACAAGAAAACTAAAGTGTTTTTTCACAGATGTATTAATATATAAAAACTCCGCTAGAAATGTAAAGTTTTTAAATCAATAATTTTAGACTTGATATATATTTGAGAGAGGGGGGGAGGGAATTATGTTACAAAGAAACACTTGAACTAAAGTTAGAAGAAGGAGAGATTCAGATTACATGGGTTCCCACTTGTTTAGGTTTAGTGAGGGGAGGGAGGGGGGGGGGAGCAGAGATCCGAGTATTTGATACAATTCAGTTTTCTACCCTTCACGGAAAGAACAGAGAGAATAAAACAGTCAGAGTTGAATTAAGTATTAAAGTACTAAAGTATTAAGACCTCTGTTTGTCTGTTTGAATATCCAATCATATCCCAGCCGAACCCAGTGACTTGACCTACTTTTATTAAATTTTATAGCATACTTGAAATCTCTTTAATTTCAATTTAAAATTGTGTATATTACGATACATTGCTAATGTATAATATAATTAAAATAGAAATCTGTTGATTTTAGTTTTCATTTTTATAAGCTCGACTAGCAACATTGATTGTAATCTTTTAATTTTTGTGGATAACAAATTTTTTATATAATTTAAATATATAAAAAAGATTGCACCCGAGAGTCCTATTTTCTTTAACTTCATTGTGTTCAAACTATACATCTAGCTTCATCATGTTGTCATCAAAAATATTAAAAAAAATATTGTATAAGGATTTAAAAAAGTATCAATGAAAAAATTTGAATTTAATTTTTAAGAATATTTGAAACGCTTTTTAGAGGGGTTGCGAAGGGAGGTGGAGGGGGGTAGAGAGGGGAATGGAAGATGGAGGAGAATATAAGTCCGTCTTGAGTATTCCTTGCAGAAAGATAGATTTCTCTAGAGACTAAACAAGAATTAGGATCAAGGAAGAAAACTTGGAGAAAAGACTAAACCGTTTATCCTGAAGCTTAAACATTAAATATACAATATACATCTAACAATACAATTTTTACATTTCTTCTTCTACTAAGTAAGTAAGTTTTTTATGAAATATAGCAAAAACATACAAAATTAAGTGTTTTTAAGAGAAAATATTTTAAAACCTCCAAAANTTCTTTTTACAACAACAGATTGTTGATTTCTTCTTCTTATAACAACAGCTTGTTGATTTATTCTTTTTACAACAACAGATTGTTGATTTCTTCTTCTTACAACAACAGATTGTTGATTTCTTCTTCTTACAACAACAGATTGTTGATTTCTTCTTCTTACAACAACAGATTGTTGATTTCTTCTCTTTTCTTTAAAATCCTCGGAAAACATTTTTACCTTGAAAGACGAAATATGTGAACAAACTTTGTAGTTTTTTAATTTAAACTTTTAATTTAAAGTAAACTGGAATTTTATTATATCTGAAAATAAAGTTTGTCTCTTCATAAAAGAAGCGTCCAAGGAAATCATCAATTAATCTCAATATAACGATTATACGCTCATTTTATTTATCTGGAAATGATATGTACGACTTTTAACACTTAGTAACGTCAGAAAAGGGAGTTAAAAAAAATGGTAGATCTTAAACTAAATGAATTTTACTTGATTTTAGCCACATATTTATAGAATTCACAAATATTTACCTAGTCTTTATTGGCATTTAAGCAACAATTAGAATAAAGTTGAAGTTTGTTATATTTCAGTTAAAAATGCATCCTTTAGCAGATAAATAAAAAAGGGCATTATTGATGACATTGTATGAATGCAAGTATGAAAATTACAACAAAGCCCTTAAATTTTATCACATATAAAACTCTTTTAACCTGGTGAGCGGAAACCTGTTGTTCCAGTTCCTGTTGATCTGCACCACCAACATGAAGTTCTATAAAACTCCCATGATGTTACTACTGCTGTTTGTCAATAATTTTCTTTGTTAATTTCTAAAGCAACCAATTTTAACCATGTCTTATGCAAATATTTCAAAACTTTCGTTTTTTAAATAAATGTTAGAAATATCCATTTCAGATGTCTTTGTTTTATTATAGTGACTTTTAAAGTCAACAACTAGATTTTATCTGATGGTTTCTAATTCCTTCACGTACTACAAGTACAAGATATATATATCTATTTTAAACTATATCCCAATATACTAGATATTATCTGATGGTTTCTAATTCCTTGACGTACTACAAGTACAAGGCATATATATCTATTTTAAACTGTATCTCAATATACTAGATATTATCTGATGGTTTCTAATTCCTTGACGTACTACAAGTACAAGGCATATATATCTATTTTAAACTGTATCCCAATATATTATATATTATCTGATCGTTTCTTATTTCTTCACGTACTACAAGTACTAGACATATATATCTATTTTAATTTTAAACTGTATCCCAATATACTATATATTATCTGATGGTTTCTAGTACTACAAGTACAAGACATATATATCTATTTTAAACTGTATCCCAATATACTATATATTATCTGATGGTTTCTAATTCCTTCACGTACTACAAGTACAAGACATGTATATCTATATATATCTATTTCAAACTGTATCCTAATATACTAGATATTATCTGATGGTTTCTAACTCCTTCACGTACTACAAGTACAAGAGATATATGTATTTATTTTAAACTTTATCCCAATATACTAGATATTATCTGATGGTTTCTTATTCCTTCACGTACTACAAGTACAAGATTTATATATTTATTTTAAACTGTATCCCAATATAGTAGATATTATCTGATGGTTTCTAATTCCTTCGCGTACTTCAAGTACAAGACATGTATAACTATTTTAACCTGTATCCCAATATACTATATATTATCTGATGGTTTCTAATTCCTTCACGTACTACAAGTACAATATATATATATCTATTTTGATCTGTATCCCAATATACTATATATTATCTGATGGTTTCTAATTCCTTCACATACTACAAGTACAAGACATGTATATCTATTTTAAACTGTATCCCAATATACTATATATTATCTGATGGTTTCTAATTCCTTCACATACTACAAGTACAAGACATGTATATCTATTTTAAACTGTATCCCAATATACTATATATTATCTGATGGTTTCTAGTACTACAAGTACAAGACATATATATCCTTTTTAAACTGTATCCCAATATACTATATATTATCTGATGGCTTCCAATTCCTTCACATACTACAAGTACACGACATGTATATCTCTTTTAAACTGTATCCCAATATACTATATATTATCTGATAGTTTCTAATTCCTTCACGTACTACAAGTACAAGACATGTATATATCTATTTTAAACTGTATCCCAATATACTATAAATTATCTGATAGTTTCTAATTCCTTCACGTTCTACAAGTACAAGACATATATATCTATTTTAAACTGTATCCCAATATACTATATATTATCTGATAGTTTCTAATTCCTTCACGTACTACAAGTACAAGACATATATATCTATTTAAAACTGCATCCCAATATCTATATATAAATTTGGCTTGTCTCTCTTGGTGTTTGTTTGTTTGTCTGTCTGTTTGTTTGTATCCAATAAACGTCAAAACGGCTGAACCAATCGGGTCCAAATTTTTTGTGGGACATCACGGGACAACAGGGAAGGTTTATGAATGATCAAAATTTCAAATATTTGTCTCCATCAAAATTCGATCTTCATTAAATTTTTGAAAATTTTGAAAATCCACGAAATTTTTGGTGAAAATCCGCGAATTATTTTTGTTTTGTTTTACGATGTACACAAAGAGAACATGTTCACAATTAATTTAGAAGATGGGCGCGAAGCGCCATCTAAGGTTAGTATTATATATTATCTGATGGTTTCTAATTCCTTTACGTACTACAAGACAAGTACAAGACATATTTATCTATTTTAAACTGTATCCCAATATATTATATATTATCTGATGGTTTCTAATTCCTTCACATACTACAAGTACAAGACATGTATATATCTATTTTAAACTGTATCCCAATATACTATATATTATCTGATGGTTTCTAATACTTCGCATACTATGCTTAAAGGGACTGTATTCAAAGTGACCCTCCATTGAAAAAGTGTCATCTCCGATTTCCAATGATACCTTTAAAAACTTTGTGTGATCTGCAGTATGAACTAAATATCCACGTTTTTTTAAAACTTTTCTTTTCATTTGTTGCTTCTCTGCAAAATAACAAGTGCAGTTTTTGCTTCAGAAACAACGCAGAAAGTATCAGAATTTAACTCTTTTCAAGCTGGAAAAAATACCTTATCTTCCACTGAATGGATCAGATTAAGGTTTCAAAGGTACCATTGTGCATCAGAAATCCCCCTTTATAAAAGGAGGATCAAAAGTTATTTTTAAATTGTCCTAGGAAACCCATTCTCCAACATAGTTTATTATCTGATGGTTTCTTATACCAGGATAATGCATCCTACAATTCCTTTATTTACAGATTACAATGGGAAAATTTCTTCTGCTCTGTGTTCTGCTTCTGACAGGTATTATGCTGCAGATAAGATTGCTTGAAACATGATCGCAACAAACGCAAATGCTGAGAAAAATACTAGATATTAACAAGTTAAGCAACCAAAAAATATTTGAACGTATTTTACCTCCTCCCCCCTACCACTACACCTAGGTAGGTGTTAAGTTAAGCAATCAAGTTTCTAGGAATCAAGTTTCTAGGGATCAAGTTTCTAGGAATCAAGTTTCTAGGAATCAAGTTTCTAGTAATCAAGTTTTAAGAAATTAGGTTTCTAGCAATCAAGTTTCTAACAACCAAGCCTGTAGTATTGTACTAACCAAGTTTAAGGAAAATTGTAAAATAGGAAATGAAAAAGATAAAAAAAAAGATAATTATAATAAGAATAATGAACAGTAACTGGAGTAGAATAAGAATGATGAACAGTAACAGGAGTAGAGTAATAATAATGAACATTAACAGGAGTTAAGTAAGAATAAATGAACAGGAATGGGGACAGAATAAGAATAAAGAACAGGAACAGAGACAGAATAAGAATAATGAACAGAAACAGGAGCAGAATACCAAAAATGAACAGAAACATGAGCATAATAAGAATAGTAAACAGGAACAGGAGCATAATAAGAATAAAAAACAGGAAGAGGAGCAGAAAAAGAATAATGAACAGGAACAACAGCAGAATAAGAATAATGAGCAGGAACATGAAGAGAATAAGAATAAATGTACAAGAACAGGAGAAGTATAAGAATAGATAACCAGGAACAGGAGCAGAAAAAGAATACAGGAACGGGAACAGGAGCAGTAACAGAATACATGAACAGGAACAGGAACAGAAAAAGAATACATGACGAGGAACAGAATAAGAATAATGAACAGGAACGGAATTAAGTTAATATTTAGAAAGTTTGTGTTCCCTGTGTTCCCAATATATCAAGCTGACACCAGGAAAGACCAAACAAAAAGAGCAACATTGCGACAAAACTGTCTTCATCGGTCTTTATAAAGTATTTGGTTTAATTTGTGGCAGCAATATTCATTCCTGGAGAAAACTAATGCTTCTGTATAATAAAGCTCGTCGCTTAATTGTTTAAATTCATATAAATGCATCGAGATATTAGTAATAGAGGGGGCATCTGGAATTTTAGACTTCTTGTTGTACAGCCACTGTACACAATGACCCGATCAGAAATTCTACCTGGGGGGATCATAATTCGTAGATCAGTTTTGAAAGTTATTGTTTGAAAGTGAAGACTACAATATTCAAGCAAAGAAAACAAGTCCATATGATTTTTGTATAAAAATGAGACATGAAAAATAGAGAAAAAAATAAAATCCTTCTCCTTAACCCTATCTCTGCTGGGGTACTTGAGAACCAGAATATGCTGGTGGGGGGGGGGGGGAATTTGACTGGTAACCGCCAAAAAAGTCCTTGGAAAAAAGTTTCCGGCAAAAAAGTCCTAAAATTTCACACTGTAAAAGTCCTGTGGAAAAAAGTCCTTTCATTAAAAAGTCTCCGGAAATAAAGTCCTACCAATTCGAGACTTTATTTTCTAGGACTTTTTTTCTAGCTCCAGTATGATTTTATACAAAAAAGTCCTCTAACAAGTGAAAATGCATGATTCACAATTCTAGGTTTTTCTTTTCCTCGGATTTCTTTTCTTCAGGACTTTTTTTCCTGGTATCTTATTTTCTGAGACTTTATTGGCAGCCCCCAACACTATTTTAGGAAAAAAAAGTCCCAGGAATCCAAAACACCGGACTTTATTTCCACTGACGATTTTTCCAAGGACTTGATAAATTCGGACTTTTTTCCAAAGTTTTTATTTCCAGCTGTTTTTTTTTTCCAGAACTTTTTTTTCCCGGGACTTTCCTACATAGATTCAATTTGACCCCCTCCCCCCTCTAAATCCCATTTTTAATGTATAAATATGACAAATGATACATCGTTGTTTACACAATTTTTGACACTACAATATCTCATTGTTGAAAAATATTAAAATTAACTGTCCACTCAATACCGTACAAATAGATGTACTTAGGATTAAACCCATTGTACTCTATGATACCAACTCAGTCATAAGAAAACATTTTTCGACAAAATTCACTGTACAGTATAAACCTAGCCAGGAAAAATTAGGAGATTTATGCCCGCCCCCTGTATAAATGTTATCTATGGCTGCCCAAATTCCGAAAATTTGTTGAGGGAACCCATGGGTATTGTGTACCCTGGGGATATGCTATTTTTTTTTTGAAATTCCGCCAGTAACGCTGGTCATCAAATCATGGTTTAAAATCGATCTTGGGAATAACGATGACTATGAAATATAATACAAATCTTGGCAACGCCGTGAAATCCAGCAACTTTAATATATGCACAAACGTACCTTGCCTAGATAGGAAACTAATAGAATGCATTCGCACAATCTAGAATCAATGGGAAATTTCTTATCCGTTCATCAAATCTGGAATATTTAATTTCAGCTTCTCCGAACCTTAATCTAAATGGCGAATAGCTGAATAGGATCTCAATTTTAATCTTTTTCAGTCAACAGAATAGTTTTAGAGCCAGGACGGAAAGACAATGAAAGAGTTTGGAAGAAAATTTCTGTTGATAAATATCCGAGTGTTGTATAGAATATTCTGAGATACACTGTTTTTGAAACACTAGGGTTCACTTGAAATAGTTAAAGGACGTGGAACTGAATACTTGTCTCAAATTCTAATATTAAAATTCTGAAATCTCAAAACTTGATAGCGTTATTAAATAACCTTTTTTTAAATAGAGCTTAGAGAGTTTTTAAAAAAATGATTTTTTAATAAAACGGAAAGTTTTCTTGATGATCAGAGAGCTTTTTCATGTTGAATTATGAGTTTTCTACAGGAAACTGAGAATTTTCTTAAAGAGTATCTTTAATGAAACGAAGAATTTTTTTAAAATAAAACGAATAGTTTTTAGATAAAACTGATGGGAGAGTTTCTTAGATGTTACTATGAGTTTTCTTGATAAAACTGAGTTTTCTTTTTAGATAAAGCTGAGTTTTTTAGACAAAACGGAGAGTTTTCTAGGTGCAAATTAGAGTTTTCTATTGTTAGATTGATGGAACTGAAGGCTTTTTAATTAAAACTGAGATTTTTAAAGATAAAACTATGTTTTTAAGATCTAACTCAGAGTTTTCTAGATAAAACTAGAAGTTATCTAAAAACATGAAACTGTGTGTTTTAAAAGATTTATCCAAGACTAGTCCTGAACTGAAAATCTAAGAAGATCGGTTGAAATTCTCATCACATAAGTTGTTTTTTGATAATCTCAAATTTGTTGTCAGTTGATCCAGGGATTGGAGTCGTATTAAAACCTGATTTATCCGGAGCAGAATCTCTGGATGGAGACGGATTGGATGGAAGCTTGATTAAGAGAGAAACAGAGGTTGGGGTAAAAATCATTATATTTGATGATTCTTGGATAATATTTCAATTAAAAAGGTTTTTTGATTTTTTATTAAATGTTCTCTGCCATTGTTAATATATTGCAAATCATTGAATGAACGAAAAATATTTTGTTCAACTATTTGAAAATTAATTTAACTATCGGTAAAATAAATTGCAACATTAGTATTAAATAAATAATATAATTTTTTTAAAAACTAAATAATTAAATTCAAAATATTGATTTTTTTGACTAAAATTTATTTTTATTAATTTAGGCATCTCCTGGAGCAAATAAAGAAACTATGGGGGCACAGTCGGTCGACGTAAATATTTCTTTTATAAATTAATATTTATGGATTGAAAAAAATGATATAGATACAAAAATAAAAATAGTTAATTAAATAGGTTGAGGGTCAGGGTATCAATTTTTTGTGGGACAATTTTTTCTCTGTAGATGTTGATGATTTTTTATCACGCCTTTTTCCTTTCTTGTTTTGGGAAAACTGAAATGTTATGTTTTGACAAGGTAAAAATCTGGAGAAAATTCTTCCAAAAATTAACAAATGAAATTTTCTCTTGTTCTGCTATGAACGGAGAACATTACACACCAAAAATAGTGTTCAATAAAAAATCAAAATAGGATAATCGTATATGTAGCTCCTGCCCTCCTCCTAACCTTCTCCCGTCTAATATTTTCTCTTCTGTGATTTACGGTTAAAACGTTCTCTCTATATAGTTTATAGGAATTTTTCATCCTGTTACCTAGTCAGGATGAAATTAAATTTCAATCCCAGCCTTCTTATTCAATCCCTTCACACCCTTCATCTGCTCCCCAGGGAGTATGCAGGGAATCGAGCCGGACCGCCTTTTCATTGGACAGCACTGCTATTGCTAGCCTGCCTTGTCATGTGACAGACAGCTCTCACATTTTTGCAACCCAATGTCGTACACCTTAGATATTTCAAACTATGAATTATGTCGGATCAAATAAACGTAACATGAAATAATAATAGTTTAAACCATGCACACTAGGTTGCAAAGACATCGGGATTACAAAATTTGGTGGCAAAGATTATGATTGCTTAACAGAACAAACATGATATATGCAGTGCGCTTTCGGTGTACAGGGTAATTATCGCCTTTTACTATAACCGACTTGAATCTACTTTGTCTATCGGTACATCAGGGATGGAGTACCTAGGATAAGTACTCCAGCTTAAATGTTATTCCAGGCAATGTCTATCGGTACAGGAGGGAGTACCCAGGATAAGTACTCCAGCTCCTACAAGACTCCCAACTATACCCAGTACACAGATACTAACTTCAAGGGTAGGATTCTTTATATTTCTTGCTTTTATAATGTATCTCTTCATGATCTTTTATAATGTATCTCTTCATGATCTTTTATAATGTATCTCTTCATGATCTTTTATAATGTATCTCTTCATGATCTTTTATAATGTATCTCTTCATGATCTTTTTTTAAAATCTAGATATTTATTTGAGTATCATTGTTTATATGGTTTACAAGATTGTTGAAAATATGAATTTATCACAAGATTTTTTTTTTAACGAGTTATTATGTACATACAATTATAAATAAATAAATCAATAACGTCGGAAACGATTTTAAAAGATACTTTTTTTTTCTGTTTTTTTCCATTTCTGAATTATTTGTAAGTTTATATTCAAATATTTATAATGAAGCAGTTCGTGAGGAAAAAACTAAATTATTTATTGAAAGATAGCATACTTTTCAGGAGTGTTACTGTAGATACTACAAACACGGTGCGTGTTGTCTTTTATTAAAAAATGCGACATTTAAAAGTGTNTTGGGGTGGGTTTACTTAATTTAAGAGCTTAGGATTTTATTGAGTACTTTTACGTTAGTTTCAGTTCAAATGTTTCAACCTTTACGGTCCAAAAACGGTCCGTGTGCACACACCTGCTCTCTGTATAAATGATGGTTTAGGACTTATTAATAATGAGGTGGATCCAGTATTCACAGGGACCTTTGGAATTATAATTTTTTACCGTTATTCTTCGCCGAGGATTACAGCTTTAAGGTTTCCCAGATCCTCTGGGGTCTCCCAGATCATCAGGCGTTCAGGTCAAGGTGGTTTCTCGTTTAACTATATACAAAATATTGCGGTTCTAAATATGCCTGTACAGGCATATTCATGATCTTTTATAATGTATCTCTTCATGATCTTTTATAATGTATCTCTTCATGATCTTTTATAATGTATTTCTTCATGATCTTTTATAATGTATCTCTTCATGATCTTTTATAATGTATCTCTTCATGATCTTTTTAAATCCCTTCTCTTATTTTTGCATATCAAACCTTCTTTCTTCCAAGCCAATATTTTCATTTCTATTTCTTCTTTTGTTGCAAAATCTATAAACTGTCTCTTTAATTCTCCCTTTTCATCTCTGTTTATTTTCACTAATTATCACTGAAAAGGATTTAGATAAATAAATATTCAGAGTTTATGCCGGACTACAAGAGCATGATGAGTGGGTTTGAATCTAGTAGTTCAGAGAATTCAACAAACTCTACTTCAGGTCAGAATAGGAGAGGATAAACTAATTAAAGGGACTGTAAACGTAATGTTAAGTGAATCTCCATGCAAAAAGAGGCAATGTCCGATTTACTATGGTACATTTGAGACCTTAATTTGATTAAAAATATGGGAGATAACGTTGCTTTTCTTATTCAAATAGTGTTCAAATCTGTGAATTTTTCCATTGTTTGTCATAAACAAGATATTCGCAAGTCACTTTTTGCAGAAAACCCGCAAATTAAAATGAACAGTTTCAAATTTTAAAACTTAAAGTTTTAATTTTTTGCATGGAGCATAGATGATGATGGAGAGTAACTTGAAATTTCGCTTACAGTCCCTTTAAGTATACATTAAGACCCAAACAACTGTGGAATAAGACGATTATACTTCAGCAATGCTGTGTGTATTTGATGTGGAAATAAAGCAAATAATTTTACAAGTATCTAAAAGTCAACTTTTTACGTGTAAACAGTGAACAATTCCTATTTTACAGTTTTATGGGTTTCACTTAATAATATGTAATTTATCAATACAGCATATAGAATTTATTCACTATATTTTTCAATGCAATGAGAATCCAGGAATCGGTGCAAAATAGTTTGCCATGCAAAGAATGGTATGCAAAATATCTGCTTTGTAATAAGAATCTAAGCAAAATATTTTGTGCAATGTAAAATAGCTTACAAAAAAATCTGTTATGCAAGAAGAATCCTTGAAAAGAGAATTTTTTCTAAAACGATTGCAATTTGCATTAAAAATCTTTGCAACATTTTACAATGCAATTAAACTTTTTTATTTAATTACCTATTCGCACAAAGTCTGCTATGCTGAATAATGCAAGGTGAATTCCTGAAAAATAGTTTTTAATTCAAAAAGAATCTTTGCAAAAACATATGAAATATAGTGTGCGATGGAAAAAGAATCTATGCAAAAAACGTTGCATCGCAATGAAAATCTATGCAAAATTGTTTGCAATGAATTGAAAATCTTTATGAAGACTGCACCGAAAATGTTTGCGAATAATTAGATTATGTATTGGACATCAAATCAGCTTACCTAATAACATTTTAAAATTCTAATTTTTCAGAAATTTTCTATTTGCCATTGGCGAAGAACCTAATTTTTTATTCATTAAAATATTATTTCCACTAGATGTACAAATATGCTTGAATGCAAGTTAATATCTAGAGTGAAATTGCATGTAGTCCAGGATAGAGGAGAATGGAGGGGAGGAGGNGAAGGTAAATGAAGGGAGGGGGGGTTTCTGGGAATAAATGTTTTTTGCATTAAAACTGTAGCTAGTACTCAATTCTTAAACCATTAAGGAAGTTTAAAGTGCAGGAAAACTAAAATGCTCCAATAATCTCCTGATGTCATTAAAAACTGTTAAAACATAGAGCACCTTTTTCAAGTCAATTCTTTTAACTTTTTATATAAAATTTATTATAAAAGGTTCAAAATTTTGTAATTTCTTTAAAGTGTTTTGTTAATGTTTATTTTAATAATAATTGATTAAATTCATGATAATACTTTAAATTGTTTTTAAATTATATTTTAATCAATCAATATTTATTATATTGATTATAATTGGTTCAAATTCATGTAAATTCTTTAAAATTGTTTTGATATAAGCTATCATATTGATAATAATTGGTTTAAATTGCAATTTTAACTTTTTCTGAAGAAATAAATATGTTTTTTTTAAAGTAATTATTGACGTCAAATTTACACAGAACTCGTAACTAAACACAACTTTCTAGAAATTAACTTAATTCGTCGGATTATATTAGAAACGGACTGCAGCTTTCTTACTTGGATACAACATTTCTGCACTATCTGCGGTCATTTGATTTGAAAGTATTTATTCAATCTTTGCTCATACATTTAAGTTTTCCTAGCTATAAACTTATTGAACTATCTTAGCTGCAAGCCATTTGATATTCAAGATTTAACAAACCTACATTGGGCAGAAATCCACGTTTAAACAGTTTTAGGTATTCATTAAAGTCTTATTCTTTATGGGTAACCCTGTATTTCTTTATCTGTCTATATAAGATAGAGATGTTTTGTATATTATATTGGTATTGCAGGAGGAATGGGAGGAATGGGATTTGGAGGAATGTCCAATTTTCTGGATCTTGGAAGGAAAGTATTAAAAATCTAAACAATAGATTTTGTACAGATTGATTTCGGGACAATATCGACAAGAAAATATTTATATTTATATTTTATTTCTGTTCAAAATCTTGCATGCTTTCAAGCACAACTCCTTTTTTTCCGACGAGGTAGTGATAAAATAAGTTTTGAAATCCTTATATATAATCAAAAAAATTGATTTTTCGCACTCTTTGGGGTAAAATCCATAATGACGTAAAACTCTACCGGTAATTCTGCATGATATAATTGTGTTCCCACTATTGATATTAGCTTGAGAACTGTAAAGAAATTCATTTGTCATTTTCAACCATCAGCGTAGGACCGACAGATCATGTTATGACATATGTTAATTATTCTGTACATCTTGAATTTTCGAATTCCACTTCGAATCCAAATTAAAAAAAAAAAATTACACTTTACACTATAATATATTTTTTTCAACACAAAAAGAAATCGAGGAAAATTAGTTTTTACTGTATGTATTCGTATGTCTAGGTTGAAAAGCAATCATTACTTATTTGCTTCCGGATCTACAATATACAGTATACAATATACAATATACGAATATACAGATAGGAGGAATGTATGTATAATTATACATATTTACATATATATAAATATATATCATATATACGTATTCTGCAGAAGATCTGACATCAATTGTTAATAAATATATCATTTATTTTATTCACCCAGAATAGTTGGATTCTAGTAATACATTTTATTTCTGATATGCATTTATTAGTTATCATATTATGTAAAATGTAGATATATGATTACATAGTTGTTCTAAATTTTCTCCCATATGTTTTAAACGTTCTGTAAGCTTTTTTTATTGCACAATTCTAAACAAAAAAATTTAAATTTTGAAAAATACATGTGTAAGTTAAAGGGGATATTTTTACCTGTAACCGTCCAAAACCACTTATCCGGGGTCATAGTTCGTTAATGGCTAGTTTTTGGTTCGTTAATTGCTAGTTTTTGGTTCGTAAATGGCTTGTTTTTGGTTCGTTAATGGCTAGAGTTTGGTTCGTTAATTTCTAGTTTTTGGATCGCAAACTAAAACCAAACTAACTTAATGTACGTTCCTACAGACAATATTCCTTAGAAAAAAGTGTAAATTGTTCCTATATCATAAAATATTTGTTTCCAGTATGATGAAATCCTTTATGGAGCTTCAGAAACAGCAAGCACTGGCAGATGCAGATAAAGCTAGGTTAAAATTTACAGTGATAACCAGAAAACTGTGGAATAGGAAGACTAAATTAAAACTATAATCAAGTGTCTTTAATGTTGTTACAAATCAAATCGTTTTACTATACAGTGAAACCCTTAATAAAGAATACATCGAAAGAATTCATCAAATGTCGTATTCTTCACTTTCTCAAAATGGAATGTTGCAGGTATTTAGTTTTTTAATTAAATGATTATATGGAACTCTTTAAAACTGTTCCCGCATATTCATGGCTATTTATTTATTTTCGCAAAAACTGAAATTTACGTAATATAGTATAAAACTCATTGACCAATTGTCAAGACGACATTTGATAAATTCTTCCAATGTATTCGTTATTAAGGGTTTTACTATAGTAACTTAGAAAATCAGTTATTAAGTTAAATGGGTCTGTTTAACTTGCAATTGATATGAATCATGTTTATTTGATTTTTTAAAGTCAGAAACTTTTCTAAAAGATGTCGTCCTATTCCAGAGATTTATGTTTCTCACTGTACCTGCTCATCAATTATATGAAATGTGACTAGAGTTTTTAAACCAATTTGACTCGAAAAACACAAAATTGTGCTTCAGCGGTTAATTTTCAATTCTAGAGGGGGTATTTCAATATTTAGGTAAATGGCATGTAAAAACTTAGAATCGACATATTTTTATGAAGAACATCCAAAAATTAGATTTTCTGTAAACAGGACTTGGGCGATCATATTTTTTAAATTTTATTTTTGAAAAAAGTTCAAAAGAAAGTAAGATTAATACTGATCAATATCAAATTAAATTTTGATACCCCCTTCAATTTTTCCTGAACACTCCCTTTCTAACTAAGAAACTAAGTCTAAGTACCGTTGCATAAATTTTGAATAAAAGAATAAGAAGATTAGATCTCAACTGTTTTCTAAAATATCATGTACAACGTTCATTCTTGGTAATTTTTTATAAATTATAAAATCATCTAATTTTCCAGAATTTTGAAACTTTTCTAAATTAGCAAATTTTTTAATGTTCAATATAGTCTAATTTATGAAAATTTCCTAAATTATTCAATTTGTTTTCAAAAATAGTTTATTAAATACGTTCAACATTCTAAAAAATCGAAATAGAATAGGTTATGCCGATATAACTTGTTATATTCAAAATGAAAACAAATCGAGGTTTTATTTAAAAAAGAAATAATCACTTAAAATTTACTTTTGATAAATTGTTTTTAATTGAAAATTAAAACTTTAAAAAAAGCAAATATAATTGATCCTTGCTTAAAGGGATAGTAGACGAGATTTCAAATAACCGTCAATCAAGCTTTAGCCCTGATATCAGTATAGGATTTACAATGTGGTGAATTCAGTTGATTTTCCAACAAATTAAAAATTATCACTTTTCAGTTAGAAAAAAAGAACAATTTAACCATTTTTACTCCAAGAAAGGGTACCATTGTGAGGGTCACTTCAAATTCTGTTGACAGTCCCTTTAATATTTCATATTGTAAAGAGAGGGTCACTTCAAATTCTATTGACAGTCCCTTTAATATTTCATATTGTAAAGAGATGGTCACTTCGAAATCTATTGACAGTCCCTTTAATATTTCATATTGTAAAGAGAGGGTCACTTCAAATTCTATAGACAGTCCCTTTAATATATCCGATTGTTTCAGGCTGAATGAAACTATAACAACGGAGGATTTAACTGTAAAGGTGATTATATGTAACTCTTTCTTTATTTGGAAGTTCTGAGCTCGGGTTTTATAATTGAAGGAAGAAATTAGACTATCCGAACATAATTCAACTACTTTTTGCTTTTATTCAATCCCGATCTTAGAGTTTTCCATCAATGCTTAAATCATCACTATTTTCTTTTATTGCAATTTTATCTATTTTCGTTCATAACTTCATTAATTAATTAATCCATTCTTTTTTAAATTTAATTTTTTAAAATGAAATTCTAAAGTTAAGCTCGGAATTTGAAAAGAATGAGTTCACTCCTTTCATTTAAAAGTGTTTAGCTCTGAATATCTACAGGATGGTTCAGCTGCTACCAGAGATTCAGGACTTTCCCCTTTTCCTTCTCTTCCCCCTTCTCCTTCTCTTCCCCCTTCTCCTTCTCTTCCTTCTTCTCCTACCAAATACAGGAACATAAAGCTCTTAAACCCTGGAAAACTAGGAACTAAGATAAGATGGATATAAGAATGGATTTTGACAAATATTATTTCAAAACTAATGTTAAAAACAAAAAGTTACAACAAAGTACAAGTGGGTTAGTTAAGTAAAACATAAGGCCTTGGCGACACTTCATAGTCAGCCCGATCGTAAAGGTTGAGAAGATAAAAAAATTTTAAAATTTTTCATTTGTTTAAGGTTAAATTCTAGGACTAGGCTTTGGTTCAAAAGTGTTACAAATAAAACTGCTGAATAAGAGGACGACATTTAAGAAATCTTATGTGAAAATGAGTTTGTTAAAAAACAAACAAAGTGTTTTTACCTTGGTAGCTTGGAAATCAACTAGAACGAAATAGGCCCATGTGTACACTGCACAATTCATCTTTCTTATCTTCTATTTAAAATTTAATTTTCTTCATCTTCCACAGTTTTATGGGTCTCACTGTAGGATACTTTGATATTTTCTTTGAATAAAATGTAAAATTTCAAATCTATTAAATTTATTAATTCAAAATTTAACTTATTCTTTCGAGTCAAAAGAAAAGTTACTGTTGATAAAGCTCAATATCCCAATTTTTTTTTCTTAGAATTTTGTGGCTGGAGTATAAATTTCTATTTTTATCTTGCCTTTCTTATGTTTATCAGGACTACTCTGTGTATTTAGACCTGGAACCGGATATTATTCTTTGATTTATCACACATAGAACTAAATAGAACTGGATAGAACTACAGGGTGTCTCTGAAAGAACTGTGTCTAGCCTAAATTAAAGTAAACTAAACTAAACTAAACTAAACTACCTTAAACTAAGATAAAATGAACTAAAATAAAATAAACTAAAATAATTTAAACTAAACTAAAATAAACTAAACTAAAACAAAACTAAACCAAAATAAAATAAACTAAACTAAAACTACCTTAAACTAAGATAAACAAAAATAAACTAAACTAAACTAAACTTAAGTAAACCGAACTAAATCAAACAAGAATAAAAAATTCTAAAACTAAACCCTCAGAACGCATACAAATTGTAAATCCTGATGTAGATCCAATCAGTTTTTATGTCCTAAAACCTAAAATCCACAAATAAAACAGATAAAAATTTTATTCAATTCTAAAATCTATTTCTTACACTTGTACAGAAAATAATGTAGACTATTCTTTACTGTAAACTGTACAGTTCACATTGTATACACTGCACAGGGCTGACTGTACAGTTCACATTGTACACTGCACAGGGCTGACTGTACATAAATAGGAATGTAGAATCCAGATCTTGGCCCGGACGGCACGGAAATATTTCCATCGGAAAAATTCCGGTAAATTATTTTTAAATTTTTTAAGTTAAATAATTAACGTTTAGGTTTAAAGGATTTAAATATTGTAGCAATTATTTTAAATAAGAGATTCCGATAATATAGTTTACCAGCATGCAGTGCTTGAGTATTCAAAATATATCCTAGATTTTCCTGATTTTATATTTCTGAATTTTCAAAATTTACAAAAATCGGAAATTTTTAAATGCAAAGTAATATTCTACAGTGGTAGGTGATTCTATCAATACAATGAAGACGACTTTCGATTTAAATTTTGATTTATATCAAGCTGTTAAACAGCATGGATATTGGATACACATCACATAAACACAGAGGTCAAGTAGGTCAAGAGAAGCTGTCAATTTGATTACTTGTAAACATGTAATTCTAAAAAAGCTTGTTAACAATTAAAATTTAAATACAAAAGTCGTCTTCATTGTATTGATATAATCGCCTTGACTGTACAAAATTTGTTGTCCCTAGATCGGTTCAGCAGTTGCGACAAATAGAGGAAACAAACCTGCAAATAGACAAATATATAGAATATATTAGAGGAAACAAACCAGCAAATAGACAAATATATAGAAGAGGAAACAAACCAGCAAATAGACAAATATACAGAATATATTAGAGTAAGCAAACCAGCAAATAGACAAATATATAGAATATATTAGAGTAAGCAAACCAGTAAATATATAGAATAAATTACCGTGTATACCTGGGTTCATATATCTATGATGAATAGAAGGAATAATTAAGATATGAATTGAATACAATTTGGTTTTATATGTTAAAGAATATCTACAAGAATACATGTATATAGCATTAGTTCTATTACATTGTTTATTATTTTGCTAGAAAAAAATACGATGGTAGACATAAAGTTTTAAGTTATAAAGATCAATTTTTATCAAAGCCTTCTTGTGGTAAGAAGAAGCTTATTCGGGAGGATCTTGTTTATCACATCAATTCATTGGATTCTTTGTTATTATTTATCCTGGAGAATACCAGCTAAACCATCCTGATATGTTATCCTGGACTAAACCAGCTGAACCATCCTAATAGGTTATCCTGGAGTAAACCAGCTAAACCATCCTGATATGTTATCCTGGACTAAACCAGCTGAACCATCCTGATATGTTATCCTGGAGTAAACTAGCTGAACCGTCCTGATATGTTATCATGGACTAAACCAGCTGAACCATCCTGATATGTTATCCTGAATAAACCAGCTGAACCATCCTGATATGTTATCCTGGAGTAAACTAGCTGAAGCATCCTGATAGGTTATCCTGGAGTAAACTAGCTGAACCATCCTAATAGGTTATCCTGGAGTAAACCAGTTGAACCATCCTGATAGGTTATCCTGGAGTAAACTAGCTGAACCATCCTGATAGGTTATCCTGGAGTAAACCAGCTGAACCATCCTGATATGTTATCCTGGACTAAACCATCTGAACCATCCTGATATGTTATCCTGAACTAAACCAGCTGAACCATCATGATATGTTATCCTGGACTAAACCAGCTGAACCATCCTGATAGGTTATCCTGGAGTAAACTGGCTGAACTATCCAGATAGGTTATCCTGGAGTAAACTAGCTGTACTATCCTGATAGGTTATCCTGGAGTAAACTAGCTGTACTATCCTGATATGTTATCTTGGAGTAAACCAGCTGAACCATCCTGCTAGGTTATCTTGGAGTAAACCAGCTGAACCATCGTGATAGGTTATCCTGGAGAAAACTAGCTGAACCGTCCAGATAAACCACCTAAACTCAAAAGTCTATCCTCAAGGGTTGTCAAAAGAAAACAAGTATTTAAAAAACTTTTTTTTTATTTAAAATATAAAAGCTCAGTAAAGGTTTTGTTCTTTTCTTATATAGGTTAATCAATTTTATAAACGATGTAGATGTCCATGCCTGGAAGAGTTAAGGGATTCCAACCCGTGATTCTTGGTTCAATTCCATTCATTTCTAAATCAAAGGTGGGATTTTTGTAAACTGTAATATTCGGTGTCCCTGTAACCTCTGTATCCCCTTTATCTTTTGTATGCCTTGTTTCCCAGACCATACCCTGTTTACCCTGTATCCCTAGTACCCCATGTATCCCTGTATCTTCAGTATCTCTAGTACCCCCTGTAAACCCTGTGTTACCTGTATCCCGTTTATCTCATGGATCCTTTATATCCCTTGTATCCTCTGTATCTTCTGTATTCCATGTATCTCTGAATCTGTGTATCTCAGTATCTCTGTATCTTCTGTATCCCCTGTACCCTTTGTAACTCTTGTATTCCCTGTATCTCTGTATCTCTGTATCTTCTGTCTCCTGTTTCTTCTGTATCCCCTGTATTCCCTGTGTCTCTTGTATCTCCTGTATCTCCTGTATCCCCTGTATCCCCTGTATCTTCTGTATCCCCTGTATCTCCTGTATCCCCTGTATCCCCTGTTCGAACCTACAGCCCGGAGCAGAATCTCATCTCCAGGTTTAAAAGTTTCCTTAGTTAAAGGATTAATGGAGTTCTCTGAAACCTGATCCTAAACCTTCTTTATCTTCTCCAAATCTTATAACAACAGACAAATATAATCAATCCTAATAAAAGAGTTTAGATTTCCTATAAGTTCTATATTTTACCATCTGCATCCTTTAGTAGATATCTCATCTCTCGTTTTTTTTTCTTCATTTTTTTATTAATCTTTTTATTTTACCGAGAAATTTCCGACGCAGTTTTTTATTGAACCTCTGAATTAATTTCCTTTGAATATTATCTTCTCAGATTTAAAAAAATTTAATTTCAAGTAATTTCGTTTAGGAAAGTAAAAATAGAATTCAGAAACCTGAACTTTTCTTGACTCCACTTCATCCTTTCTTCGCAGGTTAGAAAATCAGATGAATGGGATTAATGAGATGAATAGGATGAATGGGATTAATGAGATGAATAGGATGAATGGGATGGATGGGATGGATGGGATGGATGAGATGGATGGGATGGATGGGATGGATGGGATGGATGGGATGGATGGGATGGATGGGATGGATGGGATGGATGGGATGGATGGGAGCCTAAATGATTTATAATTTCAGATTTCAGTGAATATGAAAATATATTCTTCTTGGTGAGGTAAGATATATAAAATATAAAATAGCCTAGTCGGTCATTTTTCTGATAATTTAGAATAATTAATTTCAAGATGGAAAACAAATACAATTCGTTACCGTTGAGAACCGGACATGCCATTCTTAAAATAGACCATCAATTCAAATTACATAAACAGTCCCTTTAAAATAGACCATCACTTCAAATTACAAAAACAGTCCCTATAAAACAGACCATAACTTCAAATTACATAAACAGTCCCTATAAAATAGACCATCACTTCAAATTACATATACAGTCCCTTTAAAATAGACCATCACTTCAAATTACATAAACAGTCCCTTTAAAATTAATCAAAATGAATAATATTATATAATTCGTCCTGCTTTTGATCTGAAGAACAAACATACTAATAGACTAACATTCAGACACATAACTATACATTTAATAAACCCAGATAGACTAACAAACAGACACATAACTATACATTTAATAAACCCAGATAGACTAACAAACAGACACATAACTATACATTTAATAAATCCAGATAGACTAACAAACAGGCACATAACTATACATTTAATAAATCCAGATAGACTAACATACAGACACATAACTATACATTTAATAAACCCAGATAGACTGACAAACAGACACATAACTATACATTTAATAAACCCAGATAGACTAACAAACAGTTACATAGCTATACATTTAATAAACCCAGATAGACTGACAAACAGACACATTTAATAAACCCAGATAGACTGACAAACAGGCACATAACTATACATTTAATAAACCCAGATAGACTGACAAACAGACACATAACTAGACTGTTATCAAACCCAGATAAACTCTTAACTAGTAACCAGCTAAGCTCTAAAAAATAATGAAATAATAAGTCATTTAACAACCAAATTTTCGATAATTAAAATCTTCGATTTTTAAAATCATTTTTTGAAAATACATTTAAGAAACATGAAAACTGCGAACTTCTTTTATAGTTTTATGTAAAATAAAGTAAAACTGGTGGGTTGGAATGCAACATTTAAAATTATTCAGATAATATTTAAAAAAAAACGCTTTTCTGAATACTTTGGGCATATATATATAGACCAGCACATATTTAGACACATATGCCTGACCAGACTAGAATCATTTTTTGAATAATCAAAATAATATTTGTTGAAAGATTGGATGAGTTTTCTGAATATATTCCTCTTCGTTTAATCCTTGAGTCGAGTCTGGACGGATTAAGACGAGGACGGAATACGGATCCTATAAACTCCATGAACTGCTCAGAAACAGGAAACTTGGACAATTAAACCCAGATCCTTATGAATATATGAATACACGTCCATATATACTCAAAATAAATGTTCTGGAACAATCTCAAGGTTTAGTTCGACTAAGAATAAAAATTCGATTCTAAACTAACAAAATATTTGCTTATTTTTGACATTTTTCCCCCAAGTTTTTCAAAACATTTTTTTAACATCTCTTTACCTTTCCAGTGCCGCACTTTTTTATAAGATCAAAAAATAAGTTTACAACTAATCATCATTCTTTCTATGCTGGTCATGTTCGTCGACATCATTTTTAATTTTTTTGGAAAGTCTCCAGATTCCTGTTTTCAAGTATTGGAAATTAAAAACCTGGAGATACTCCTTAAAGAAATAATAAAAGATATTTGTGTAAAAGAAGTCTAATTATTTATCTAATAATGTCCTTGTATCTCAGATAAACTTCTACTACGAGCTAAACAGTCTAACTCCAGTAGTATTCTGATCCGTTCCTATCTTATACTCTGCTCAAATATATATATTTTCCAGGTTAAAGATCAACATATATTTATTAACTTTTTTCTTCTGACAGACAGGGTTACCCATAATGAATCTAGACATCACCAACCCCTTGGACTGAAGATGATGATATTTTTATCGAAATATATATGCTGAAGAGACTCTCTGTATTTTTTTCCAAGTTTGGTTGAGATTGCTCTATACCTGATTTAACCTTTTCCCATAATGAATGAGACTTTAAAAACGACAGAAAAATCTTAACTTAATTTATCTATTTTTGTTTCCTTTTGATTATAGTGTTATAGTGTTAGCTAAAACACTAAAAACTTTTGATTTGATAAGCATTTTATAATTCTTGTTATAACTGATAATGATAATTTAAGAACTGAATCAGGGACCATCGAGCTGGGAAATAACATGAATCTGAGTAGATCAAGTTTAAGCACTGATCTCGAAATTACATTATAACAATAGTTCCCAGCTCAGATTTAATGAATATAGCGAGAAGTAGCTGAACCACACATCAAATCCATCAAATCCATGGTTTAAGTTACAAGTTAAAAATTCCTTAGAACATTTCTGAATGAGTAGAAAGAAAACCGACGTCAATCATTCCACTGTTTTCTGGTTACCACTGTATGATTATATGTTTAGAAGAACGTATACCTTGATATTTTTGAGCTGACTCATAAACCTAAAAATACTGAGCCGGTCAACCAGGCTAGTATAGCGAAGCCGAACATTCTGGCTAAAATAACGGAGTCAGTCAATCAGGCAAGTAGTAACTTACCAACCAGGCTAGTATAACGAAGCCGAACACTCTGGCTAAAAGAACGAAGTCAGCCAATCAGGCAAGTAGTAACTTACCAACCAGGCTAGTATAACGGGTGTGAACCAACCAATGAATTCATAGATATTTGTACATTTCACATTTGACACTTAGTGTCATAAAGCAGAGAAGTACAAACTCAAGTATATTTTTCCTTTTTAATTAACAGCGTAAAGGACAGAATATAAATTAAATCATTATCTGGTGATTAGTTAATGCTGAGATATTAAGTTGTTTTATGAGAACCAGTTTAGAAATTAGAAAATGAAGGTAAGTCTTGAAAACTTTATTTGGATATTTAATATAAAATTTATATTTCTAGGCTAGAAAGATAGATATACAGCTAAATCAGGACGATCTGGAATCTCTACTGGGAGCTGGGAACAGGTTTAAAGGGAGTGTTCGCTTAAAAAGGGGTCTAAAACAAATGTATTTTGCGATTCCTTCATTTCACTCAAATTTTTCTGGTCGCACCGCCGAAGACTGTCCAGTTTTCGAGGATCGATTGATGACCACACTCAGCTAAACCCCACTTTCTTTCGGTCAGAGTACTGCAGATTACTGCAGTTCACTCCGAAAGCTTAGTTTAGGGTGAGACTGTGTTAAATTATCTTCACTAAAAGATAGGATAGTAATAAAAATATTACTAATCGTTTATAGTTTTATTCGAGTTAATTCTTTAACCATATTTTTTTAGCGAACACACGCTTTCATGTAAGTTTTCCGCTTCTTAAATATAAAAATGGAAAGTAATAAAACTTGATTTATTTCGCTGATTATTTCTTCACTGGTGCAGTCAAAATTTTAATGGAGAAATGTTTTAAACATTGTGACCAAAACCATAAACCACAGGATCATATTAGGCTCCAAAAAATGGCGCTTGATCGGTTCAGTCGTCTTCTTTATTTTACAAAAGTTTGCGGCAAAAATAATAGTTTAGTAGAAATCTCACAAAAACATCGTCTCGAACAGATGCCTAATACTCTGGAATTGTTCTTATAAAAATCATTAAAATTAAAATTAATTATATTTTTTTATTTTAATCTTTTTTTGATTCTAAACAGTCAAGAAATAGAATGTATAAAATTAATTATTTAAGAGCAAAGAAATTACAATTTCGAAATTGTTTCTCTTTGAATTTATGGCTCCTTTGGTTCCATACTGTCTGTGTATTTTTTGTTAAATTTTGAAAACAAATAAACCGAGTTTTTAAACGAATTTAAAAAGTTTGTTGTATTAGGACTTGCAGTTAGTTATGTTGTCGGGTTAATATATAAAGTTATTTTACAGGAAAAAGTTAGATGATGAGAGAAAACAAACTAAACTAACAGAAGAGGAGGGGAAAATGTTGGGTAAATTTCAAGTGAGACCGATAAACACTGTGGAAAAGGAGACGACTGTAAGGCTCAAGTGTTGTTTTTAATAGTGAAATGAAAATGAATGCCGCAAACACGTAGACCCATTTCGCTTTAAACCTTATTTTTCAAAAGTATTTGCTTCATAACAACATCAAACAAACATAAGGTTGTTAAAATGTCGTCTTCTTAATTCACCGTGTTATTGATCTCACTGTAGAAACACCATTAATAACATAATATATTCTTCTATTCAGGAAATAGTTTATCCTCATATATATATTTATCTTTTTACAGGGAAATATTACAAAAATAAAGAAGAATCTTCAAAGAAAGGTTAATATATAATCTTCTACAATATAAAATATATAATCTTCTTTCAATCCTGTAATAGATTATCTTTCATGTACATATAACTAAACCTTCTTTCAATCCAGTAATAGATTATCTTTCATGTAAATATAACTAAACATTCTTTTCAAAAGATCTTCATTAAATTCTCCACTTAAAGACACCAAGTAGCCAAGCCCATGGGTTTTCTTCAAACCCCTGCACCCTGAGAAACCCCCTTTAACTCCTTTTTTCGAATAATACAATAAAAAAGTTGAATATTCATTTTATTAATACCAGATGTATATTGTGTATGTACAATAAATAAAAATATCTTTTTTCCATATATTATTCAAATTTTGTCTCAATAAAGAGTGTTTGTACATAAATGTTATTGATTTAATGGGATTGTTCACATATTTGAAAGTAGAAATAATATCTTGATTCACGATTCTGAGGAGCTCTGAATGATATGTCAATCACTCAAAGCAATCATGTGCAAACACAAATTGATGGAATCATGCGGTTTTAGCAGAAAAAATAAAAAATAACAAAAAATTTCATTAATTTTTAATTAATAACAATAAAAATTAAGGGAGTGACCGGCTATGTAAGGTAGTTGAACTGAGTATGCAGTGTTGTGGAAAACTTCTTTCGGATTCATTTGAAACATATTAAACTTTTTAAAATCCTTTATCAAAACCTAGACCTGGAGTAAAACTTTACCCAACCCTGGAGCTGGAGTCTTCCTATAGCCAACCTCTTATACAATATATAATATATAATCTTATACAATATATAATATACATTTTTAAAATATGAATTAAAGAAAGTGATTAACACAATATTAATTTGTGAATATAAATCTTTATAAAGCTCATATATAAATTTTTGTATTTATGTATGTATAATGTATATATATGTTAACTATAGCTGGGAAAACGGCTAGACCAAATCGCATAACATTTTTTGAGGAAACCCATGGGTACCTCGGGGTAACATAAATTCAAAAAAATTTTAGATCAGAATCTTTTGTGTTTTTAAAATTTTACGCTCAACACACCTGGCACTTTGGCTAGTACTATATAAGAGTGATTCACGCAATATTCATTTCTAAAATACTTAAAAATATTTCTTGTTTCTAAAAAATATCTATTTATGTGTTTTCGCTGAAATATAATTATTTGTGTGTAGAGAGCTGTGTATGATAAAGTACGCATTACTCAAACCTGTGTCATACCTGCAACCAAACACAGGGAAAAGAATATATTTTTTTATAATTATTAGGATTTGAGATTGAAAATATAAGCGCAGGGGGTGGAATTGAATATGGAAAGCACGAAGGTAAACCATTTTTTTTGGTGGTGGCCGTGGGGGGGGGGCAAAGAGAATAGAATTTATATTAGAGGAGAATTTAGAGAATCTCTCGGTATGAATTTTATAACGGAAAATCATCGTTTGTAAAGTGAAAGGCATAGAGTCTAAGTGAAATGATCATTGGTCAATTATGAAACCAGCCTATTTCATAATTTGGTTTTCTTTTAATATTTATTTTAGATTTTCTATAAAATGATGTTCCAAGGCCCTAAAGGTTATATAGCATAAATGGCATGGGACGTACGTTTGCGGAGGGGGGGATAGATAAAACTCCTAAATTGATTATGTGGCCGCAGCGCCGGCCCCCTAGCCTGTCCTAGCCGCGGCGCTCGGCCCCCTAGCCTGTGCTAGCCGCAGCGCTCGGCCCCCTAGCCCATCCTAGCCGCAGCGCTCGGCCCAGAAATTATCTTAGCCTAACCCGCAAACCTACGTCCCATGTCAGCATAAATATGTGTTAAGTACACCTGCAGTATGGGAACATTACAACAAAATGCCCGTTTTACATTTTTTTTCTAGTAAATTCCCCTCTAATATATATTCTATTCTCTGGGGGGGCGGGGTCACGTAAGCCATTTTTTTGGTGGTAGTGGGGTGGGGAGGGGGAAACTTAACTTAACTATAACGAAGTTCATTCTGTCTTATCAATATATTTGCAGTCATATTTTTATCTCTATTTTAAAATGAGACAAGAATAGCTTGAAGGATTTTATTTGCTATAATATTCAAAATATGTTATCAAACAGAAAAGTATAAATATAACGAGTGAAGATGGGTTTCAAAATTAAGGCCCACTGACTTTTATCCAAGACCCTTGATTTACCGTAGAGGAAGGGAATTTTTACAAAACCATTCAAAACAACTGGCTGAATTGTGATCATGTACATTAAAGACTGCAAAGACTTTCAGTGTATCCTGAAATATCATTCTATCTTATACAATTAGGGTTTCCATATTCGCATTATGCGGAATGATAACGCAAACCTTGATTTGTTGCTCTTTTCTGTGCAAAATATATCCTGTTGGATGCCACACAACATAAAATCGAAATGGTAGGATAACAGAACAAAAACTCGAAATAGAAGGATAATACAAATTTTGTACATCATTGCGCTAAAACATGCCATATGTATGCAAAGAAATAGTTTGCATTTTCCCAAAGCCTAGTTTAACATTACACGTTTTTTCATAATTGTTAAAAGCAATTTTTAACTAAATTTAGTCAAACACGATACAAAAAATGCCCGTATGGGAAACCCTGTTTCCAATAAGTTGTTAGATGGTTCGAGATAGTATTTTGGATTGGCATAGTTAGAACCGGTTTCTATTGTTGGAATTCAAACGGGTAATCCCCATTTTGAAAGTCCAATGTAACCTTGTATAACATTTCATGGTGCAGTCCCAGTAAACAAGACAAGAGACCGTAAAAATAAATAAAATAAATAGTAAAAATAAATTGAACATTAAGCAAAAAATTGTTACATTTGCTACTAAAACTTAATTACTTTGTGTGGCCATCTTTAATCTTATTTTTTGTTCTTACAATATGAGTAAATTATCGAATTAAAATCGTACCTTTCTTGATCCAACTGATTGATAAAAATATCAATACAAAATATATTTTAATGTTTATCTATTTAGGCGGGGGACTTTCTCTTAAACTCAACATTAAGGTAATTACAGAAAATAGATTTTTAAAAGAAAACATTTCATATTTTNTCCCTCCCAATCACGACTTTTGCTGATTTATTTAACTAATATATTTTGCTGGTTAAAGGATGACCTGGAGAGAAAAACGAGACAGGATATGATGAACCTTTTCTTTACTTGGTAAATTATGCTTAACACTGGACCTGGAGAAATCCTATACCCGACACTGGACCTGGAGTAATCATTTACCTAACCACTGACATACAGTAATCCTACACCCAACTCTGAACCTGGAATAATCCTATACCCAACACTGGGCATAGAGTTATCATATACCCAAACTCAAATCTGGACCTGGAATAATTATTTACCTAACCACTGACATTGAGTAATCCTGTACCCAAACCCAACACTGGACCTGGAGTAATCATTTACCTAACCACTGACATAGAGTAATCCTGTACCCAACTCTGGACTTAGGGTATTTCTTTACCCAACCCTGGACCTGGAATAATCCTTTACCCAACTCTGGACCTGGAATAATCCTTTATCAAAACCTGGACCTGGAGTAATCCTTTACCCAACTCTGGACCTGGAATAATCCTTTATCAAAACCTAGACCTGGAGTAAAACTTTACCCAACCCTGGAGCTGGAGTCTTCCTATAGCCAACCCCGGACCTGGAGTAGACATAAACCTAACCACGGATCTGGAGTAATCCTATACCTAACCCTGGACCTGGAGTAGACATAAACCTAACCAAGGATCTGGAGTAATCCTATACCTAACCCTGGACCTGGAGTAGACATAAACCTAACCACGGATCTGGAGTAATCCTATACCTAACCCCGGACCTGGAATAATCAAATACACAACCCTGGGCTTGGAGTAAGCATATACCTAACCACGGAACAGATGAAGAAACCTAATTGATCCTGAATAAAACATCCTTAAGCCTAAGTTATGGTCTTTGAGGAACCACAAACCAAAAATACTATTAGGTTAATCCTGAACCTACATCTGCAGGAAATATGTAATATTTGACTCTTCTCAAAGAATATTATAACTATGCTTGCTCCCCGTGTACGGTGTAACCACTTAACTCCAAGAGATTCCGGTTTAACCTTTCGTTAATTTTGAAAACTTTGACCCTAGCTGAACTTTTGGAAAGACCTTCAAGCAGTCCAATCACGTTTTACTTTTAACAGCCCTTCTTTCAATCCTGTAATAGATTATCTTTCATGTACATATAACTAAACCTTCTTTCAATCCTGTAATAGATTATCTTTCATGTACATATAACTAAACCTTCTTTCAATCCAGTAATAGATTATCTTTCATGTAAATATAACTAAACATTCTTTTCAAAAGATCTTCATTAAATTCTCCACTTAAAGACACCAAGTAGCCAAGCCCATGGGTTTTCTTCAAACCCCTGCACCCTGAGAAACCCCCTTTAACTCCTTTTTTCGAATAATACAATAAAAAAGTTGAATATTCATTTTATTAATACCAGATGTATATTGTGTATGTACAATAAATAAAAATATCTTTTTTCCATATATTATTCAAATTTTGTCTCAATAAAGAGTGTTTGTACATAAATGTTATTGATTTAATGGGATTGTTCACATATTTGAAAGTAGAAATAATATCTTGATTCACGATTCTGAGGAGCTCTGAATGATATGTCAATCACTCAAAGCAATCATGTGCAAACACAAATTGATGGAATCATGCGGTTTTAGCAGAAAAAATAAAAAATAACAAAAAATTTCATTAATTTTTAATTAATAACAATAAAAATTAAGGGAGTGACCGGCTATGTAAGGTAGTTGAACTGAGTATGCAGTGTTGTGGAAAACTTCTTTCGGATTCATTTGAAACATATTAAACTTTTTAAATCCTGAGTTTAAGCGCAAATTCGACGTTCAAAACTCCTACTTTGGGGGTTGATACGTTTTCATAATTAGTGTTTTTTCAATTATTAAATAACGACGACAAAAAATGTATGCAATACTCTACAGTAAACTAATTAGTTGTTTCGGAACCGGTTGAGAAAATAAAAATTAATCTTATTATTGAAAATAAGTAAGCTTGTTCAATTATTAGTTCCTATTTTCTCATTATTCTGGTTTCTCATTATTCGCAAAAATTTTCTGCAGATTTCTTGAATTATTATTGAAAAGACGACATTTGAAGAATTTGAAGAAATCTGCGAATAAATTCAAAGAAAATGAGAAATTCAATATAACAATGAAAACGAAATAATTGATTCTAGCATTGATTTATTGACAAATTTCTATTGAGAAATATGTTCCCAACCATCTAATTAGATTACTGTACAGTGAAACCCTTAATAACGAATACATCGAAAGAATTCATCAAATGTCGTATTCTTCACTTTCTGATAATGGAATGTTGCAGATATTTAGTTTGTTAATTAAATGATTAAATGGAACTCTTTAAAACTGTTCCCGCATATTCATGGCTATTTATTTATTTTCGTAAAAACTGAGATTTACGTAAAATAGTATAAAACTTGTAAAGTAAAAAATTGTCAAGACGACATTTGATAAATTCTTCCGATGTATTCGTTATTAAGGGTTTCACTGTATGATTTTTACTTTATTTTTCGTCGTCGTTATTTAGTAATTTAAAAAAAAGATTCTGAAAACGTATCCACTCTTCAAAGTAGGAGTTTTGAACGTCGAATTTGCGCTCAAACTCAGGATTTACAGATCTTTAAAAAGTTTTACATGTCTCAAATGAATCCGAACAAAGCTTTCAACAATACTGCATACTCAGTTCAACTACCTTACATAGCCGTTCAATCCCTTTAATAATACTTTGTTGCAGCACATCATTAACATTCTTCTTTGATAAGAATAGAACTGAGAGCGACAATTACGTCATCCATACTTGAACTTTGCTCCTAAAATCATGAATTAAAGTTTAAAATCTATAAATTTAAAATAAGAAGAAAACTAAACAAAGATAAAAGTTGCTTAAACTTTGATAATATTTATTTATATTTTATTCATCGATATTGATATTAATACAGATATCACTTTTAAATATGGGAGACCCCTAAGACCAAGGAACTATATAAAGGATCCGCCCGACTCAGATATACGCATACTATGTACTGTAAACTGTGGGAACAAACCCAGTGCCAACTACTCCTTTTAAACTTTAGCTAGAAATCAAGCTCGTTGCAATTTCAAAATGTAAATGTCTAGGACTACAAAAATGTAAAATTGGCTTGATGAGCTGAACCCCAAGCGGCCCAAGTCGTTGCGACGCTTTGAAGTCAAGGCTATCTACAAATTTATGAAAACTTTCATAAGATATAAGATAAGAAAATTAGAGTTTTAGTGGATAAATCAGTTCCGTTGTATCTTTGTAAATAAAAAAAATTTACCTGTATACAATGAAGAAGTGCTAAAGACGGGTTCTCCATTTTCTCAAGGTTTGGGATGATATTCTCCATTCTCAGGTTGGAGGCAAATATCTTCCATTTGCTGTCTACCGAGAGTTGCTGGAGGAGCAGTTCCAGTTCTCTCCGGGGTAGATCCTGGAACCTTGCTCTGGGTTCAGTCCGGTGCTCGGATAACCTGGAGAGAAGATCCTAAACCATTATAGGATTAAACTTTAACAGCGGATATGACAAGTGAAGTAGTATTAATTTAAGTTCTGTAAGGATTAAATAAACTAAAAGAACTAAGTTTTTGTCACAAACACTGACTTTCTAATTCCTAAATCTTTTGAACTGATGTCGTAACCTATATTTTAAACTATAAATTCTGTTGGATCAAATAGCCTAAACTTGAAATATCAAAGATGTACACCATCAAGTTGCAAAGATTTGCTGATTAGAAAGTTTGAGTTTGAGGCAAAAAGTTCTTTCTCATTGTTACATAAGACAAGAAACGAATAGAAAAGTGAAAATGAATTTGGAAAAGTCTTTTCTGCTTCCTTCAGTTCTCTTGTATAAATTCTTCCTTAATATCTCTTTCATTAATATTCTATTCTCTTTTTATTCTATTCCAATATTTTTCACACAATTCCATATTACTCACGTGGATTTAACGGTTCTGCCGATATTCCAGAAAGCTGTGACTTTCGATCACAATTTGACCCATTAAACATAATTTTTTAGCCTTTTTTCAAAAATACTTTTATGTCGGCATATGCACTTTGAATGAAAAAGTATAGAATAAACAAATCCGTAAGTTGAATTATAGACCAAAACACGTTTGATTTCAAATTAAATAAACTGAATGCTGCTCACTCTGGTTAGTTCAGGGTGTACTATACTTCACACATAAATATAAAAACTTGTTTTTCATTATGAAATAAATTCATAAAAATAATATACTGTCTTAGGCTTCATCTTCTTCTTAATGCATAATTTGTTGTGTTAGTAACTAAACTAATACCTTAGTCATGTTCGGATGTTCAGGACGAACAAGTCCAGAGAGCCTCAACCTCTCCGCCAAAACTTCAACAGTTTCTCCGCTGTAATCCTCCAAAGTTGTATCCGCCCCGGCCTGGAGGAGATAATCCGCAAGTTGTTTAAACTGGTTTATCAAGGCAAGATGGAGAGAAGTTCGGCCAGTCACTCGATCCCTAGCGTCGACATCTACCCCTTTATTGACCAGAGCAGCAACCAAATCCAAGCGTCCGCACTGAAATATGAAATATATTTAAAATTAACGTTTTTTGTTTAAAATTGAATAAAAATGGATAAAATGTTACCTTAACAGCAACATGGATGGGGAAAAGTCCGTCGTTGTTTGGAATATTTAGTTTAAGGTTGGACTCTAGCAGGACGGAAACCATCTCCACGTTGAGACTTGATATGGCGAGATGAATAGCAGTATTTCCATCCTTACTCAAGGTATCTGGGTTTACGTTGTATTTTAACAAAATCCTAAATTAGATAATCAGTTGAGATGTTTATTTAAAATCAAATAACAGATAAAGTAACTGAGTTTTTGCCACAACCCAGCATATTTTAATCCCTAAATCTTTGCAACCCAATGTCATAGACATTTGACGTTTCAAAATATGAATTATGTTAGATAAATAATATAAGTTTGAAATATCAATGGTTCACACTGTCAGGTTGCATAGATATCGGATTTAGAAAATTTGAGTTAAGGGCACAGACTCAATTTCTTTGTAGATTTCTAATAAAAGCAGCAAGGGAGATTTTTATGAAAAGAGGCCTTCAATAGTGCCCAAATAGTGTTGGTTGAACGTGATATATTCAGTACTTTTATTATTCTCCTAACCTGGCAAGTCCAGGGTTTTCTAATTTGACCGCTAGATGTAGTGGAGTAAATCCTTCGTTGTTTAGTTCCTCCAGTATCTCGTTGAACTGGATCCTGGAGGCAACCTCCAGTATATACTCTAGAACCTCCACCTCACCACTCAACACACCAGAGTGTAGAGTACTAGATAAAATTGAAATCAATAAGATGACTTAGGCTCACATAGATATGAACTTAATATTTCTTTATATTGTCATGGAACGGATCAGACGACATTTATCCCAATAGTACTTAATATTATTCCTGAGACCTACTTGTTTCCTTGTGATGTGATGAAAGCAAGAATCTGTTTCACTCTTTGGAAAACTAAACCCTTGTCATTTGTTGCTGAGAACTGATGAAGAAGATATGAAAGGCACTCGGCTATCTGCTGCCCGGAAACATCTTCAGAAACCTTAAAATAATGAATTTGGAAGACGACATTTTAAATCGCCATTTTGTAAAGGAACAATGAACACAAATTTTCAAATCAACAATCTACAGGGTGACCCCATCAAATTAGATCGTTGTGATTTTAGGGAATAATCGAAAAATTTAAACAATGAATCATTCAAAAAACAGAAAAAGTTAGTGATAAAGTTTTCTTGTATAAAATATTAGGTTTTTTGAGAGTTATGTGCGTATTTTGGAGTTCAAGCTTTAAGATAATCTATTATGATATAGGACGCTCTGTAGTAACATGTAACGTTGACTATATCATCTAACAGAATTCATATTTTAAAATTTCAAAGGTCTACTTCATCAGGTTGCAAAGGCATATGAAGATAAGAACATTTGAATTTGTGGCGAGAATTCAGTTCCTAAAGTCAGGTTTAACCAAAATCAATAAAAATTGATTCCATTTTCATTGGTTTCTTTTCTATAAATAAAAGTAAAAGTATATTTACCGTCCCCCCAGCTACGCTATCCGTCGATATACTGCCTCCGACGGCGATGGGTTGGGGTTGACCGGCTCGGAGGAGAAAATCCGGAACCAGCTCCATCGGACCTCCGTCCGTCACGTGATCATAAGGCGAGGGATAGGCCAGGGTCTCGACGTAATCAGAATTACTAAATCAGATAATTATCAATACTACAAAATATCAATTTTAACATAAAAGAATTGTCTGGAAAATTAAGAAAATTTGTAAAAACTTAAATGAAATACCTGCATAGATCGTTTATTACATTTAAATCAATTGTAAGATTGTTTTCATCCATGTTACTGTCCTCATCCTCATCCTGCTGTTCTTCTGCTCTGTACTGGATACCTCCAAACCTAAAAAAAATTCTCAATAAGTAAAATCATAAAAAAAAACTTTTGATGCACCCCAAATTTAGACAAGTCGTGTCGAATTAAAATGATTTTGATAAATTGCAAGGGAGATATAATTAATTAATGCACTTTAACGACGACCATGATTTGAAGAAAAAAATTATGTTCAAGAGTTTTTTACAAAAAAAAAGTCTTAGAAAGTAAAGATAATTAAGAGAAAAACTATAAAAAGGGGAAAAGAGGAATCATACACACTTTTAAATCTGTACCTTGGTGGGTTGATAAAAGGAACAGGTTCAGAAACTTCTAGGTTAGATCTTATTCGTTTCCTTTTTCTCATCCTAATCAAGTGTTTTTAAAATACTAATCCGTGTTGAAAATATGCTAATTAATAAAATACCATTAAAAAACCTTACATAGTTTCCTCTGTAGGCTTGAATCGAAACGTTTTTTTCTCCGAAACAGCCTCGTCGGAGGGTCGGAAGAGTTCATAGTAGACATCAACACTCTCCGTTACTCCAGTATCCCGGTACGTTGGTGTCCTGAAATTTATGTAGCATCAAAATACAAAATCACTTTTACCTTTACCTTTACCCCTTTACCTGTACCTGTAAAGTGAACCTGTACCTGTACCTGTACCTGTACCTGTAACTGTACCTGTTCCTACCTAAATACAATAGCGTACTGATGATGTACATCGTTCTCGGAGAAAATAGCAAACTCTTCCCAGATCCTTTCATCCTCATCATTCTCCTGAAAGAACCTGATCTTGATGTTTCCCTTGATTACCCGCTCCGTGAAGATAAAAACCTCGTCTCCGCCCTGAACGGATCCGGAGCCGGTACTCATCCTTGTGATCTTCAGGTCTCCGGTAGTCGGATTCTTTAAGTTTTTGATCTCCTGGGAGAATACCATCTCACAGAGAGGATAATAAACTCCGTCGACCACTGTAAACACCTCGAACCCGAGGATCACGTTGTTCATCTTGTTTGTCATCTCCTTACTAATATTTTTCGCGTCCGCCTTCAGGTTGATCTCCTCCACCTTGGTCAGCTGAACATGGGGATTTCTCTCACGGACAGCTTTCTCTTCTAAAATAATATTTTCTGGTTAAATCCGCCAGATTTAATCTTTAACCCTCAGGAAAAAATCCTTCTAAGCAAAACTTAAATTCGACTTAAAATCTTTTTATTTTTTTATTTTTCCAACGAATTAAAAGTATTTATCAAATAGTAGTGTTATAAATTTTAAGCATTTAAAAAAGACCAAAGTTATATTTTTGTTAATATACATTTAAATTTTCCGAAATATATATTTTCAAACCTAAATATATTTTCTTCTTCCTGTTAAGAACAGTTTCCTCTAGTATTCTCCTGCTAGTGTGGATTATTCCTAAACCTTGCCACACTTGTTCAAATCCCTGACCAACAATACAAATATCAGCTGAAAGAGGCGGAATTTCAGAGGTGTACACATTTTTTTGTACTGCAGTGTACTGTCTTTGGTAAACACAACATGAATGTCACAGCCTGACATGGAATCTAATTTCACAAAAATAATCTATGAAATATTCTGGTCATAGGAAACTATTATGTGAATTTAAAAAATTATCAAAATTAAATGCTTTAAACCTCCTCAGATACTAAACGCACACTGATGCATCTATTCTTTTTTACAAAGTACGCCCAGAGAGAACTGGTTTCAATATGTACGCAGAGTATACGCAACTGCAAATAGCTCTCCTTGCATTAGTACCTTGAATCTTGTAAACACTATAAAAACTTTTACAACTTTTTTACATTACTGTACTTGATGTGCCAAGAGCCGAAAACTTTAGAATTGTGGAGATCAAGATCAATAATTGATCTCCTCTTCTTATTAATGTGCAGATTAATTTAAAATAACATTAATATCTTGGAAAATTTTGCGTGCAATCCATGAGAGAACTCTCATTGGACGGAACCCAGCAGGGATATCCAAAATAGAGGATTAACCAGAAATTAAAAGTGTTTAGAGTGGATATCGATATATAGCAATCAGGATTACCCATTGATCTATAGAATATAAACCGTTTCAATTATATACAGAAGTTTTCGATTCGTTAGACATTTATAAGCTTTAAGTAAGCTGTGACTTCTGCGCCTAGCTACGCAGGAAATCACAGCTCGAAAATGTTTAACAAATCGGATAACAGTATATGTAACATATTCCAGTGTGCTTTAGATGTCGTCTTAGATTGGGGGAAACTTTTATGAAAACTTAAAGAATAAATGATATTTAGATATTTTCCTGTGATCTACTAATCTCTGCCTCAACAAAATTTTCTTCTTTAGAACTGAATTGTTTCCACATCAACTAAATATAAAAGGAATTATTTAAAAAGAATATTATTTTTTAGATTTCTAGCTTTAAAATCTAATTTTCTAATCCCTAAATAACTTGATCTGACCGAATTCATAGTTTGAAATATTAAGGACTAGGTCTATAGATTAAACAGATATAAGGATTAAAAAATCAAAGTTTGTGGCTAAGACTCAATTCCTTTAAACAGGTGTCCTACAAAACATGACAGATGGTGAATAGTTTTAAATGTCTTCTTCCATAACTTGTTAAGTTCTTTGATACCAAAGAGAATGTAAAAAATATCACACATATTATTGTCAAATTGATTTCAAAGTAAAATATATTTGAGTAAAATATTTTTTTACGAAATAAACTACAAAAAGTATTTAATATCTTATACAGTGTATTAAAGAAGACATTCAAAACTATTCACCAACTGTCATGATTAGATTTAACATTCTCTTTAAAAATATGAATAAAAACCTAAATTTAAATATTTTCTGCTATACCTTATGAACGTGATGAGATTTTTTATCAGGAGCTGCGTATAATCCTGCTCGAACCCTTAGTTTATCAATATGGAGAGGAACATGCTCCACCTAGGATATATTATAATAATATTGATTCCTCAACCTTCATCGTAAACAGGAGAAGTTCGAACCTATCCATCTTGAGGGGGAAAATCTACGAAAAAGTTACAAAACGTAGATTTTCGTATTTGAAATGTATCTAACCTTGATTGTAGGAAATTTTTTGTTTTTCTTGCTGAAGCTTTTCCCACGAATACATCCATGGGTTCCTTGCATCTCCGTTATATACCGGAACCTATTCAAAAGGTCTTGTTAGTGAACGGATACAGAAGGAGACAGGAGACAGGGGACATGAGACAGAGGAGACAGGGGCCAGGGACCAGGATAGAAACAGACAAGATACAGGAGAAAGAGACAATTTACAGAGGAAAGAGAAAACTTACAGGGGAAAGGGACAATTTACAAGAGAAAGGGACAATTTACAAGAGAAAGGGACAATTTACAGGGGAAAGGGACAATTTACAGGGGAAAGAGAGAAGATATAACAGGAGATCGAAAGAGACATATAAAAAGAAAAGTGAAAATGGCGTGGAACAGAGTTAAATGATAAAAACTATTTTAAAATTGTGTTTGCGAGAACATGTCAAAAAGAGATAAGAAGTATAAAGATACTACTCGCAAACCTTGACAACTAAAGGATGAGACTTTAATGTCGATCTTCAAAAGACCGGATTCAATCCTTTCAATCGTCTTTAAAATTTCATCCTTAGTGGGAAAACCTGAAGTAGAGTAGAGATAATAATCATGAACCTGAATTTTTCCTCAGGTTCTTCTTCTATCACAACTCTCGGTAATCTCATTTCAATACTGTGTTCTATTCAGACAAAAAATTCAACACATTTTTTTAAATAAATAAAATTAAATTTCAAAAAGTATGTATAACTAACCTTTATTTTCTCTGTGTTCTAGGAGAACCGTTGAAAGGTTGAGAGGAGAAGGAGCAGGACTGGGATTGGATTTAACTGCATAAAATGTATCATTTCCCCTACTGTAGGGTATAACCGGAGTTAACTGGGTTAGTGATGAAGAATGCATGTTACGTATCTCCGAACAGGTGCGGAGTAATCAACGAACTGAAGAACAAGTGTAAATATTGGCTGGAGCTAGAAACCGGTCCTATCTTTACTCCAGCCTACCTCAAGCCACTGAACCTGCCTTGATACAATTTACCTTTGTGAATCCCCGTATTAGAATTGAAGTATGGTAATTGGTCGCCCCCCCCCCCTCCTTACCCTCCCGTCATCAACTCAATTCTTTACTACTTTTTCCTGAAGTTTAACAGTGGTTTCAAAATAAACCAATTTTGATACGATATAACTAAGATTGAGTTTTTCGTTCTGACATAAATGTGCACTGTGTTACCTGTTACCTGTTACTGTATTGTGGACCCTTTAAAACCAATGTGCAACATTAAAACCAATGTACAACCTTAAAACCAATGTGCAACCTTAAAACCAATGTGCAACCTTAAAACCAATGTGCAACCTCAAAACCAATGTGCAACCTCAAAACCAATGTGCTCCCTGAAAACCAATTTGCAACCTTAAAACCAATTTTCACCTTAAAACCAATGTGCAACCTCAAAACCAATGTGCTCCCTGAAAACCAATTTGCAACCTTAAAACCAATTTTCAACCTTAAAACCAATGTGCAATCTTAAAACCAATGTGCAACATTAAAACCAATGTGCTACCTTAAATCCAATGTGAAACCTTAAAACCAATGTGCAATCTTAAAACCAATGTGCAACCTTTAAACCAATGTACAACCTTAAAACAAATGTCCAATCTTAAAACCAATGTGCTACCTTAAAACCAATGTGCAACCTTAAAACCAATGTGCAGCCTTTAAACCAATGTGCAACCTTAAAACAAATGTGCAACCTTAAAACCAATGTGCTCCCTTGAAATCAATGTGCTACCTTAAAACCAATGTGCAATCTTAAAACCAATGTGCAACCTTAAAACCAATGTGCAACCTCAAAACCAATGTGCTCCCTGAAAACCAATTTGCAACCTTAAAACCAATTTTCAACCTTAAAACCAATGTGCAACCTTAAAACCAATGTGCAAACTTAAAACCAATTTGCAACCTTAAAACAATGTGCAATCTTAAAACCAGTGTGCTCCCTTAAAACCAATGTGCAACCTTAAAACCAATGTGCAATCTTAAAACCAATTTGCAACCTTAAAACCAATGTGCAATCTTAAAACCAATGTGCAATCTTAAAACCAATTTTCAACCTTAAAACCAATGTGCAACCTTAAAATTAATGTGCAACCTTAAAATCAATGTGCAATCTTAAAACCAATGTGCAATCTTAAACCCAATGTGCAATCTTAAAACCAATGTGCAATCTTAAAACCAATGTGCAATCTTAAAACCAATTTGCAACCTTAAAACCATTGTGCAACCTTAAACCAATGTGCAACCTTAAAACCAATGTGCAATCTTAAAACCAATTTTCAACCTTAAAACCAATGTGCAACCTTAAACCAATGTGCAACCTTAAAACCAATGTGCAATCTTAAAACCAATTTTCAACCTTAAAACCATTGTGCAACCTTAAAACCAATGTGCAACCTTAAACCAATGTGCAACCTTAAAACCAATGTGCAACCTTTAAACCAATGTACAACCTGAAAACCAATTTGCAACCTTAAAACCAATGTGCAATCTTAAAACCAATGTACAACCTTAAAACCAATGTGCAACCTTAAAACCAATGTGCAATCTTAAAACCAATATGCAACCTTAAAACCAATGTGCAACCTAAAATAAATGTGCAACCTTAAACCAATGTGCTATCTTAAAACCAGTATGCCCCCATTTAAACCACTGTGGCCCCTCTAATCCACGTTAAACCTTGTAATCAAAAATTTGCCTGCCCCCTAAATGCTTGAAGCTGACCGAGACTAAACAAGCATAAGTGGAATTTCCTTTACATCCTCATAAACAAAAACTCCAACCTAACTCCTCACTATTATTCACATTAAAAAAGTTGCGTCAAATTTCGAGATTTCGGAAAATACGCCTTATATACCTGGCGATTTCTATACGTTGGATTTCTATACGTTGGATTTTATAATGTTTGACGTCAGAGCTTGCAACCTTTGGACAACTGCGTGTTGAGCCCAAAAAAGTAATTTCAATCATATTGTAAAATATCGAATAGGATAAAAGTTAGATTTAATTTAAGTTTAACAATAATTTAATCTCTATCTGAGAAACGATGTTGAAGAAATCGTCGTTTTTCTGTCTTAAATTTTGACAATTTTTTTCAAATTCTCTTTAGAATAAACCCGCAAGCTACTTTTATAGAGAAACCACAATTAGAAATTTTCAACGAATAATAATATCTTTTTCATCCTTGATCAGACAAAAGTTTAAAGGGTACTAAAGTGAATCGGACATTTCACTCTAACTCTATCGTTGGCATGTTTTAAAAAGGGAGAAAACCAAGAGGGGATTATGTACATAAGTATGAAGTTATGAATTGATTATGAAAATGCATTTCACAGTTCAAATTGATCTTCAAACTTAATTATTCTTTAAAATCATAACATTTGGGATCTTTGGGGAGCTGAACTTATTCTAAATTTGATCTCCAAGGGGAGTCCCCCAATTGGATGAGTGAAAACTATAGTTCCAAAAAGGTATATATATCTAAAAATAAGGTAAGCTGAAATATTCACACAAAAAGAAATCAAAAGAAAAATCAAAAGGGGTATTTTTGGGGGTTTGAGCCCCCCCCCCCCCTCATGGATGAGTGAAAACTATGGTTCCAAAGAGGTGTAAATATATTTGAAAATAAGAGAATAGAAAGAGTACTAGTCCAAATGAATTACTTTAAAGAGCCTAAAACCGTAAAACTAGATGATCTCGAAATTACCATTATCTTCCTGAAAGGAACTGATTATTTGATGCAGTATTCCGTTTTGTCTTGTATAGTCTGTATGTGTGTACTGTATAGCTTGTATAGTCTGTATGTGTGTACTGTATAGCTTGCTTTAAAAACTCGGCCCGGTAGTTGAAATGAACCGGAGTTTACGGTGAAATTAAAGACAGTTAGAAAAAGTGTTAGATTCTGTTTATTTCCGTTTTTGTTCTTGCTGCATATTGATCATATGCCCCGGGTTATAATAATTTCACTCTATAGGGTTTAAATTTATCATTATAATTTACCTTGGGTTCACGGTTAAGTTCACGGTTTTTACAGTCTTAATCATTCATAACCAGAAAGACCGGAATTAATTGACAATTAATCAGGCGACTTTACATATATAGTAATTTTAAACACACAATAAAGGCAGATCCCATTTTGGAACTGGCAGGACCAGGGCTGTTTTGTTATTATTGCTTCATTAATCAAACTTGTAAAATTATAATGTTAAGTCGTCTGATTAATTATAAATTAATAAATTAATTCCGGAGACTTAATTTAAAGAATTTGAACCACGGCTCGAATATGGCTGGTTCCACTTAAAATTTTGTATTTGTACTGTACATAAAACCAAGAACCTTTCCATTCTACAACTAGATTTAACAGTGATTGAAAACATCAATAATGGGACTGTTATTGTTTACGTCAATCCAACAGACCCTTCAGTTAAAAAGTATGCCTTATTCACAATAGTACACCCCAAACTTTGTCTTAGTAAAAAAGGATTAAAATAAAAATTGATAATTTTGTATTGCGGTTTCGCCAAAAAAAGTAACTTTCGGATTATGCAGCAGAGACAATCTAGGAAATTGACAGACTTAATCTCTATATTTAAGCAAGTAGAAAACAGATCACAGTAATCCAAAGTGTGCATGAAATCCAGAAAATTTTTAAGAACTTTTTTTAAAACCGCGTTGAAGTTTTAAAATGTACATGTCTTTAGGTATTAAAAAAGTAAAACTCTAGAAAATTGATGCACAATTTTTATAGCTCTGAATCTCTGTGAGCGTAATTTTAGTCCCATCATAGCAGTGTATATTGCACAAATTATTATATGTTGCAGATATTGTTTGCTTATTGCAAGATTGGTCTGTGCCGTAAGTTTATCCCTGTGGGATTTCTTCTGTAAAAGTAATATCTCCCAGAATCCCAGATCTCAGGGAGAACAACATTGATGACAACATTTGTACAGACAAGAAAACTTTAGACGAAGAAAACTTTTGTGTCTTGAATCCGGGATTTCTAGGCTGAGCCGGATACACGGTTAAATATAATGAGGATTTACAAACTACTTTCTCAACCTTTATGTGATCAATAATGTGAGTGATATCGCACAAACTCCAAATAATATTTAAGTTTATAAATACCAAAAACTTGTGAAAACTAAAGCAAAAACCAAAATGTAAATGTCTAGAGCAGAGTAAGTTCTATGTGAGGTAAAATTAAAGACCAATGAGGAGCTCTCGCGCATTCCTTCATTGTTTCTAGAACAGAAAAAATGCAAATGCCTTAATAGAAAATCCTCAATTGGTAAAATTAATAATTTTCAAAGAGAAAACTAGAGATATCGAATGGCTTTCTTGATCGGAATCGTGACTCGGACACGGCACATTTTTAATAGAGAGTCACATTACGTCTTCAGTTAAACCTTTAACCGAAGAAGTGAAACTTGAAAGATGGCTTTACTATAATCTAAAGACTGATATTCATATTTACACTGATTTAGGTCCTCAGTGAAGTCTCATCCTTTATGGGCAATCCTGAAGATTACAAATTTTAACAAGCTTTTTTTTTTGCAATTTTCGAAAATATATTTCAAATTCGAAATAATGGGTAAACTCTATATAATAATATGTTTACATATATAACTAGAAAAATAATTTTGTATTTGTAGATAATTTTAAAACAACTTATCTCGAAAAAGCATCCTGTCTATTAAAAATAAAATCTAACCATTGTGCTGTTTAACATTTAATATTTTACCCCTTTTAGGTTCAGTTTTATCTCTCAGCTCTGTTTTTAAATAGATTGTTACTGCAAGTGTATTTGTTCTCCCAAAATCGACATTTTTAGAATTGACAATCTTGTTTCAGGTATCCACCATGTTTGTTTTGGATAAACAGGGTGATTCAAAAAAAAAGTTTGATCAGCGTTGCCTTCTTAAACAATTTTCAATCACATTGTTT